TACACCCAGGCTTTGACTACATTAGATACAGTTAGCAGCGTGATTGTTGTTGTACACCCAGGCTTTGACTACATTAGATGTAGATAGCAGCGTTATTGTTGTCGTACACCTAGGCTTTGACTACATTAGATAAAGATAGCAGCGTGATTGTTGTTGCATGCCCTTGCTTTGACTACATTAGATACAGATAGCAGCGTGATTGTTATTGTACACCCAGGCTTTGACTACATTAGAAACAGTTAGCAGCGTGATCTTTGTCGTACACCTAGGTTTTGACTACATTAGATACAGTTAGCAGCGTGATTGTTGTCGTACACCTAGGTTTTGACTACATTAGAAACAGTTAGCAGCGTGATCTTTGTCGTACACCTAGGTTTTGACTACATTAGAAACAGTTAGCAGCGTGATTGTTGTCGTACACATAGGCTTTGACTACATTAGATACAGAAAGTAGCGTAATTGTTGTCGTACACCTAGGCTTTGACTACATTAGATACAGAAACCAGCGTGATTGTTGTCGTATACCTAGGCTTTGACTACATTAGATACAGAAACCAGCGTGATTGTTTTCATGCACCTAGGTTTTGACTACAATAGATACTGATAGTAGCGTGATTGTTGTCGTACGCCAAGGCTCGACTTCATTAGAGACAGAAAGCAGGGTGATTGTTGTCATATACCTAGGTTTTGACAACATTAGATACTTATAGTAGCGTGACTGTTGTCGTACACCTAGATTTTGACTACATTAGATACAGGCGTTAGTGTTGTCGTACACCCAGGCTTTAATTACATTACATACGATTGCAAAGTGTTGTCGTACACCTAGGCTTCGGCTATAAAAGATACATATATCAACGCGATTGTTGTCGGACACCTAGGCTTGACTATATGATATACATATAGAGGCGTGACTGTTGTCGCACACCAGGCTTTAATTACATTACATACAAATAGCAGCGTGAGTCCTGTTGCACACCTAGGCTTGGATTACATAAGATACAGATAGCAGCGTAATTTTTGTTGTACACCCAGGTTGTTCGATCACATTATATACAGTTAAAAATTATTTCAATGAAATAAGGCTTAGGATCATTAATCAATTAATTAATTAATTAATTAATTAATTAATTAATTAATTGATTAATTCATTCATTCATTCATTCAACTAATCATTATTCATTCATCCACTCACTCACTGACTCACTCATTTATTTATTTTTTGTTCATTTGTTTAATTAATTGATCTATCAAAGATACATTTATAAAAAAAGGCCCATTAAGCCTCAGAAATTCTATCATATTTTTCTGTACTTATCTTGTTTCAGATTCCAAATAAGTTACACATTGGCCATATAGATTAACTTTCCTTTGCTTCTTTTTTCCTTGGTAAGTTGTAAAATTATAGTTATTTATAAGATCTAGTTTGTATAGATGTCAAAATACTATATTTTTTTACATTTTGTTAACTCTACGACACATCACAGCAGATCCAGTGCTACTCTCCACGGTTTTTTTATTATCTAAAATGCTCTAAATTCATTATCAAATTATTATTAAACACTTATTTGACCTTTCCAAAGAATAAGAAAGTTATTGATTTCTGAGCATAAAATACATGTTTGTAAAGCATGTCCTTATGATTTATTGTATGTCATGCATCAAATTTTCAAAGTATTCTGTTGATAAAAACTAGACGTAACTTTCGTTTTGGTGAGAAAAAAACACACAACAACTTGCTGCACATACGCTCATACGTTTGTTTCTTGTGTTAAATCTACTGTAACTAATAATGTTTTAATGATATATTTCATTTCATGGAAGGTAACCAAAAATGCATTACAATTGGTGCAACTTATCAAAAAAAGCAAATAAAGAACATTTCACTATTAAAGTCTTGAAAAGTTGTAATAATAAATTCATAACATATTTCTTTCAAACATATAAAGGGGAAACAAAACAATGAAGTATAGAATATTCATTTAAAATTGTTTTACAATGCATTAGGTGATGCCTTAAAGAAATAAAGAGTGGTAAAGGTCTTTGACTTCAGACCGCCTGCCCCTTACCTTTGTAGTTCTAAAATTCCTCTAAGGATTTTAAATTATTTTCTGAAAAGAAGTTACCAATCCTAGGTACAGACGTCGGTGATCGCAGGTGTCTAAAATATAACAAGGAGGGGCTTCTGAGACCTCTTTCCAATAGTAAAACTGGACAATCTTAATATGAACTGTTCTGGTATGATATAAAGCCTAACCAACCAACCAATAACCTGGGAGGGGGGGGGGCAAGTGAATTGGTCTTATACATGATATCTTGGCACAGAATTACAGTGCTTTTCCTATCAATACAATTTATTTTAATATAATTATGTAATTTTATTTTATATATGTATGTTATAGCCGTGACCGGTGCATTTAGTACTGAAACACATTTGTTTATACGCATAATGCAATTATCTTTTTTATTGTATTCAGATGGTTGAAAAGGTATATTCAAGACCAACAATATCGTATGGTTATCGAATAAAATTAATGGATTGTGAAGTAACCAAATATATCTGTCCTCAGAACTTCTGGCGTTAATAACGATTTAAATGAATTATTCATGCTTTGAATTTAAGGCACTGCCATAAAGCCTTAGAAACAAATAAATGTTTACTTCATTACAAAGGACAAAGCTATATTTTAGAATATTGCACAGGCCATATTTCATTTTAAAATTCAATATTTAGAACTACAACATGATTTAAGAGAATTTTTAAATAAGTTATGAAGTGTTTATAACATAAAGATAATGCCTTTGGGTAATTAATCTAATTATGTTTTGATTAAAAAAAATTCACGCTATATCTTTATTGAAGAAATTAATTAGAATCATAAACATTTCAGATAATTGTATTAAAGTATATGCTCTTTTCCACCATCGCTGCAGCAAAATATACTTGTCATGAAAAATATTCAGATTGTAGATTCTGTCCGAAATATCCTTTACTCTCTATTTAGATGATGGCAATAAATACTTAATACTTTTTATTCATCATAAAAAAGCACAAAAAACTTTAAGAAAAAATTAAATTGAGATATAAACAGACTCAATTACTCTTAACCCTAAAATATCCTTATTAAAATCTTTTATTTCGTTGTACATCTATTTACTAGTAAAAGAGCAAAGTAATCACTAGTAAATTGCTTCTATTCTAAATAATCCTATTTCAAAAGATATTTTAGCACCATGAAAAGTAAACAGAGGTGTGAAGGTGTGAAAAGCAACAAAATACTGTTGTGTTTTTAAATGAAAGATGATTGCAGTGTATTACAGTTGACTGGTTACTAAACAATAAGAAATGACATGAATATATGTTGTAAATATTGTTTGTAAGAAGTATGTTAAAACAATAAAGTTGTAAAAATGTTATGTTAACTTTAAAGTAAATTATGATTTTATTTCTTTGCTGAAATATATTTGCAATTATTTGTTTGACACTGTGTATTTATTCGGAATTTGATGAATATATAAAAGTAATGGTACTGATACTTAATTACTTCCCCCAAGAAAGTACTGGTACTGCAGTACCGAGTTAAAATATAGTAGTGGTAATGGTACTGCATAACTTGCCAAGTACTGGTACTGGTACTTAAGTACTACACCCTTAGTACTGATGCAGCTCTGGTCGTTACACACTGGGTAAATAACAAGGCAAATATTTAGAGATAAGTGGTTAAAGTGGTTTTGTCTATACTAGCCAGCCAACTTATCATACCCGCCGTCCGCCTGGAATATCCACCCCCTTCTATCATATGCTGAAAGTGATACATTTGTACGGCATTTTTAATTAGTCAAGCGTTTCTTTTATTGAAAACAGGTATTCGGTTATTAAATTTTGTTAGTCCTTACATTTGATATGTTCTCAACCTAGTGGAATTGGAAATTTTACCTTATCTTAAAGCAGTGTTTGTCATAATGTTTCATTATATATTTTATACAAATAGATACACTAGCGACACATGTGGTCCTGTGATAAATGTCTTTCTGGTGCCTTTTTATGGCTTATACGTACTATTAATTAAAACCAAAGTCAGATCACAAATATGTAATGATTGATTTTTCTCTTATTGTAGTATTTTCCTTTATTTTAACATGCATGTATGTAAACAGCTATATGGGCACACTCAGTAGAACTGTAAGGGGGTATTTTTGCCAGAGCTATGCATATAAGTCATGACAGATCAAACGCCGAGAAGTTCCAACAGAATAAGCTGCAAACCATAACAACGTTAAACGTTATTTTTTTATTTAATAATGGAATACTTTCAGGGAATCTCATTTTCTATAACTTTCAATATCATTGATGGGTTTTGAAAAAAACAAACAGATTACATACTTAGTTGAAACGACAAGACGGTCAGGAGACAGGAGGCAGGAGATAAAATCAACGTAAAAAACTTAAATCTCTTCCAGGTTTTCATACTTCATAACAGTAGGTGTCAAGTGCCATATGACAGCTTTAAAAGGTTACCAAGTGATGTTATAATTTCCTGCTTAAAAATAGCAATTGTTCAGAAATTTTTGCTAAGAATAAACAAAAGTACAAAAGAAAAGCAAAGCACAACTTTACACATTAATTTTAAGATTTTATTTTCAAGATGGTTTTGTTCATACAACATAAGATATCTATCTGCAGCGAATATTTTCTAGGCCTTTGCCATACGATACTTCCACAAAATACAGGAGACACTTATTATTAATTTGACTTCTTATAACTTCCAAAATGTTACACATTGGCCATGAATAATATTTTGCTACTGCTGGTTTTAGGCAATAAGCACAATTATAGTGATTTATTGTTAATGTATGGAAGTAAAAATATTACAATGTACTTTGCTTACATGTCGCTACTTAAATGATGAAAAAGTTCAAATTTTGTGCTACATTCTTCTGGTTTCGAGTATTTAACAAGCTCCGAAATTATTATTTAACATTATTAGACTTATGTTTACTCTCCCTGAAGACGGAACAAAATATTCATGTATGAGACATAATGTGTCTTTAACTGTGGTCAATAGAAAATATTGTAAGAACAGTTTGATAATTTTCTTAACGTTGGAAATAGCGAGTGCTATCGTTGCTTCAATATCGTCATTGATGTTCAACACTGCTTCGTCTTCTGACAGATCATCAGGTGACTGAAATACGGAGTTGCTTGACATTGAACAGGCGTATACAGAGCCACCAGCACTAACTGCGAGACCCATGTACCTATGTCTTCCAAATGTGCCGGTAACATTTCCAAACCTTGATAAACGGAACAGACACAGTTTAGTTAAATCAGTAACATACATCCAACTGCTATCTGGGCTAAAACCTTTGCATATTGGTTCCGTAAATGTCATAGACCCCAACTCATTCAGTTGGAAAGTGCACTGTACTTCTCCGTTAAGTCTTAAGATTTCTATTTTTGGCCTAACTTTACCATCGAACGCAACAATAAGTTTCCTGTCATCATATTTAAAGCCTCGACAATTTCCGACTGTTCTCATTTGTTCTGCTTTAGTCAAACCTTTTCTTGTTGTAAGTAGCTGAATACGTTCCTCATCCCTTAGTGTCACGGCAAGCTGGTCCGATGGTATAACCGTTATATCTCGTGGAGACGATGTTAACTCAATGTGAAAAACAATCTGGTCGTGAGATACATCCATAATTTTAACATTTTATTGGCTTTGTCTGCTATAGCGAGTTGATCAGCCGTTACAAACGTTTAAAGCAAACAAAAAAATAAACAAAAAAGAGAAAAAGTACAACTGATTATTTGTTCAAGCAAAGCATGCTGCCAAAGAAATGGTCAAGTATTTTGAAAGCAAAAATGAACTGAATTTCTGGAAGAAATCTTGTCAGCGACATGACATATATCCCAACAAACAAACATATCAAAGATGACACTATCTTTGGTAAGATAGTAATAGAAAAACCCGATACAAAACCTTATTACTCACCAGAATTGTTAACAATAGAGAAATTACCGAAGTCAATTTCAAGTACGAAAGTGACAAGAAGGTGTGCTATGCAACTGGACTAGTATTTCTATCGGCTGATCAACTCGCTATAGCAGACAAAGCCAATAAAAATGTGAAACTTGTGGATGTATCTCACGACCAGAATGTTTCTCACATTGAGTTTACATCATCCCCACGCAATATAACGGTTATACCAATGGACCAGCTTGCCGAGGCACTTGTACAAAGCTCGAAGAAACCAATTTATATGCGTGTTTATGCGTCTGCGGGATTAACAATATAAATATTATTCAAAAAAAGCTCTTTTGTTTAGTGGGGAGTTTTTCACGATAATAAAAATAAATAATCGGCTGAACGGCGTTTCCTAACATTTTTTAGAATGTTTATTTCTGTAAACTATATATAAACCTTTATATATTGGTTCCTTTTTTCTCTACAAACCGAGACAAATCTCTACTGTGTTCGGTAAAGTTGAAGTTAGCTTGTCAAAGAAAGAAAGGCAAAGAGCTTTGTGAATAAAAAATTGAAAATTGAAAAGCACGTGTCCTTTAAGTTTAGAGAAAGTTCAATTAAGCAAGGACATTGCTACTACTGTTTATATCAATATATTTATCGATAAGCTAAGACTGTTTATATGGATAAAATTAATAAGATGAAATCAGTATTTGAATTTTATATACAGTGCTCTCCAAAAATCTTGGGAAGGTTATAAAAATTCATGAAATTTGGTAAAAAAATAATTTCATGGTTTTAAATCATAAATATGATGCTAAAATTAAGATTTATCAATATTGTAGGTTCCAAAGGTCATTATTTATAAAAATATTACTTAATTTAAAATGCCATGTAAATAAAGGGAGGTAATAAACAATTTATCTTCTATAAAGTTTAAGTCAAATTTTACAATAAGAAATGAATGCATTTATTTAAATGATTGCATACAATATGCACAAATATTTGCAGTACATATTTAAAGTATTCTTCGGTGTTTGAAAATTGTTTAAGTTGTATTATTATGCACATATATATATAATTTCAGTTAGTGTGGTTTACCACTTTGATCACAACATACAGGATTTTAAGCAAATGTGTTGTTTTTTACCAAAAATTTAAGTGTTTATAGGTATGGTGTATGAGCGTTTACAAAACATTAACTGGTTGATATTTTTGGTAAATGTTGACGATTACGTAACCTAAAATGAAATGAAATTATGTAGCCAATATATTTTTAGTAGCATGTGTAACCGCCACGTACCCGGATGATAACCTCAACCCTTTTCCTCATACTTCAAGTAAGGTGTCTGATGTGGTTTTTTTTAGGTAAATTGTGCCATTCTTGATACAGAGCTTGCATCATTTGTTGCATATTGACTACAGGTTGTTCATACCATTGCCCAAATAAAATTCAGATGAAGGGGCATTTAGAGAAAAGATCTAGTTTTTCTTTAATGAACTTTTTAATCAGACATGGTCAAAACAGACAAATGCTTCTATCCCATACAAAACCTTGATCAATTTGACAGGACTTTGTCAAAAGGTACACACTCATTGTAGTTCATACCAATTATTTGCATTGTTTTGTTTTGCTAAATGTAACAACCTCATAATTTAACTTAACATGAGATGGTTAGTTCAGTTCATGTCAATCTTTAGTCTGAAGGATAGTTTGTTCGACAAAGGATATTATCGTAGGTGGTCGTGGTCACTCTTTGTCTTTATAAATGCTGAATGAAGAAATAAATGGAACGTTAAACGAACGTGAATTGCAGCCAGTGAAACATGACAAGCAAAAATAAATACATGTAAATAAAAAATAAAAATAAAGAAAATAAAAAAATGAGAAAAGCAAAAAAATTCAAGTGAAAATATACAAAAAATGTTCAATAACTGGTCTAACTTTAACCGTAACATGCTAAATACTTAAATGATCTTGTCACTCTTTCGATATGGGCATATGACTTTTCATTTTATTGTATTGACTGAGTAACGAAGAACAGCACAGACCAAGATCATGCTACGAGAAGGTGCCTGCTGGTTTTGCGCCGGTCAAGTTGCATGGGTAGATAGATTCTGTACCCGCAAACAAACAATGTGGATGCAGATACCTTATGATTATACTCATTTTTAGTCTATATACAATGAAGTAAATATGTTTTGAATAGAATGGTAAATATGTAACTGTGTTACATTTTAGGAACTAACTCAAAGTTGGATTTCTACAATTATGAAATTTGGTATGATGCTGCTCAACATTTAAGCCCCAAGTTTACAATACATCCTTTAAAATTGTCAATATATATACTAGTATGTTACTTTAGTAGAACATAAATAAGCAAAGGTACTCATTTGTTTTCTTTTTTTCTGTATATGTTGAGACTAAAAGATTGGAGCACCACACTAAATACCGTATTCCGGTATATACAGGAAAAGGCGCTTGAATGACGAAATGCTAAAATCTTGCCTTTTTACCTAACGGAATGATTTTTAAAAGGTCTTATTCTTATTTTTACACCGATGTTTGTATGCAAATGCATGAAAAATGTAATAATCGGCGAAAAAAAGATATTTGTGTAATTTGTGATAATTTTGCAAGCGTCTAGAGGTACTGCTCCAATCCTGTAATGAGTTAAATCCGTTGAGAATCACGTTCTTAAATCTAAATACAATCAAAGAATACCGTTACTTATCTACACAAGCGGTTCAACATACGATAGCTTATCGCATATTTTACATTCATGTAGGACATCATACGACTAAAAGGTTAGAGTTGTTATATTTTTATATTGTAAATCACTAAAAGTTGATTTGTATTTAAAAGGACGAATGTGATATGTGTTTATTACAATGACGACATAATGATAAATGTCTAGCAAAAGTGTAGAACAATAGCGCTGGAATTCTCAATAAAAGTAACTCATTTAACCATACTTCATTCTTTATCTGTATTGCCATGTATTATTAATTGCATAAATAGATTAACTTATATATGGACACTCTTATTTAATTTCTTCATATCTAAAATTTAATTTGTGCTTAAGCCGGTGCAAGGGGGCGTGAACTCTACCTTGCACTAACCATTATCGTCTAAATTTAGACTCTGCTATATTTTCAATTGTGCCGTTTTGGGTGGTGCTCTTTAGGAAGTTCTATTATTCTCTATTTTATGCAGGTACTTGGTTCAAAATGGCTTATATATCAGCCACAAATTCCATCTTTTTATTGTCACTGTGTGTGTTCTTAATCGAAAGGACGAACGGACATATGCTAGGAATCGATAAAGGTAATCGTAATTTTGATATATTTTACGGGACACGCAACATTCATTTACTAAGACGTAATAAGATCATCATCATTCTACACAGTCTGCTCAGTTGGTAATACGTTGATCTGTGAATCGGGCGATACGAGATACGAGTTAGATTACCAGACAGTGTGACAGGTCACTTCCGTTCTGATTGATCATGATATCCTTTCTTTGGTCATTCGTATTGTACCTCTCATCTGGCTTGTACAGAGTTATATAAGTTCATTGCAAAAGTAAAAGCACTAGTAGTGATAATCTGCCCGACAGCCTGCTCCGGAACGATACTGTAGTTGAACTCTTCATTGGTAAATTCAAAGATAAAAGATAATTGAGAACAGACAATGAATCTAATATGTGAAAATGGGAAAATATCCGAAGTGAAAAACACATTACTTATCTGTGTATCTTTACTTTCACCTATTTTTTCAAACCTTTTAATATAATCTGATACTGTTTCAACTTCAATCAATAGAAAAAAACATTGAGTAGCTAAAATAATAACTTGTATTTGTATATTTGACATCAATTTTGCCTATCTATTGCTTTTTGAAATATAGATTTGTTGTAGACGCACCTTTCCATGAAAATAAATACATGTAGCTCATTTTGTCATATTTTGCATTTAAGATGAAGGGATTTTACGTGACAAGAGATTTATACTGACATCGAACTCAAAGCAAAGTAAGTAGTGCATTGCTGCAAAATTGCGTTAAAGAGAACTCCGCTGAGGTTATTTGACATGACGGTACTGGAATTATTTTTCCAAGATTTTTTTATAACATTTTATGAAGTTCTTTTGCATATTTGCAAATCATTCCTCCAGAATCGTCAATTTTATTGTGCATAAAGACCGAAAGATGAAAAGTGTAGCAACGCATTTCACTCAAATTGGATAATGAATCAGAAAAATAATTGATTGTCGATATATAATTTATTTGAGCATATGTTTTGTTTATCATTGCAGATGGTTAACTTAATCTATGTAATACTTTTAAATTATATATTGTGGGCTTTCTTGACATCTGTTGAGCTTCTGTAAAAAGTAATGCAATTAGTAAGGATATAAGATTAAAGAATTATATTTATCTAACCAAATGATAAACTAACCAAGTATACTAACTAGAAAGATAAACTCACCACGTGTGTGGAAGAAGGACTGACCTTTTCGAATTTGTAAGTTTTGCAACTTCCTTTTGCTTGACAGTGTGATGCTAATGTATGACAATGTTAAAGTTACTTTAGAGTGCCATCTAGCTATCACTTAAAAGGTTTCGAGGAATTCTAAAGCCTAAAATTTGAAAGACTTAATGGTACGGTTTAGATTGATACCCAACCATTACATTGGAACAAAGGACAAAGTAACACGCGATAGTTATTGTCCCAAAAGGGCACAATTTAGTACTTATATTGTTAAATTGGCTAGTATAAGTATCCCCGATCTTTAGAAAAGGCGATAATTATCGCACGTTTACGAGCGACATTTTGTGAACGAAATAAGACATCGTTTTTTTCTGAATGTTCTACTCATAGGTTGGACCACGTTAGAGCAATTTTCATCATGTGCATTAACTTGTGTTCCCGGCTTTGAGAAGCTAACCCAAGTATGTTGTGACACTGGCTTGAATGCATTGTGCTCCAATCTCCCTTGGACTTTACTTAAGGCAAAATTAGGAACATGTGTTGGTAAGTAATTTTAAGCAATCTTGACGCATTTGGGCCCAAATCTTGGGAAATACTATTTTTTAGTAGCAAAGTCTTTGTAGATAGAACTTACAAGTTAACAGTTCGTAGTTTTAAAATATGAACTACTAGTATATGGGACACAATAGCTACTTTGTAAGTCTTCTTAAACAAAAGGGACGGCTTCTCTGGTAAGGTAGTAAAGGTATCTAATGTACATAATTATTCATTTAATATTCACATATAAGGGTTTTAAATATTGCCACGAATCAGTTCTATCATTGGAAATTAAAGATATCTATTTTGCTTATGAAGGGTCGGAAGTTCTGCTCTTGTTTAAGCTCATTACTGATATGATGTAAGAAGTAACATTTAAAATCTCTCAACAAGTAAAGCTTGTATGACCTCATGTGGTTATTGCGATGTCGACATGACCTGTACATAGCTTAACCACAACCTGACGGTAGCATATTTAGATCTTTTGAACAATTTACAAACTAATACAGAAAAGGGTAGGACAAATACAACACGAATTTAAGAAAATATACTTTGCACGAAGACAATACCGTAGAAATTTCAAAATCATTTACTCATTTTTTATTGGATTGGCCTAGAAGGCAAGTGTCTTTCAACACAATTGAAGTATGAAAATGCATTTTCAGATTTAACACCATATGGCATTACGACGACAGGTATGTTGAAATTAAGTTATAATTGTTTCTATTCTAAAATAACATAACATATCTTTTATAAAAATTCAAACAACAAGTTAGTATGCTTATAAAATAACATAAGGTTATAGAGGTTAGGGCCGCCGACTTAACTTGTTATTATTTTTTGTGTTCCTTTCGGGATCATTGAGTCCAGCACATTAAAGTGTTGAGAATTGAGTACGGCCAAAGCCGGTGCTAGGGGGCGTGAGGGGTGTTGCAATTTTTCAGTATCCCTCATGTACAGACTCAATCAAACTGAGTCTGCAATTTTCATGTTATTTTGCTGTTTTAGTGCTTCCGAGGGGTTACTTTTTTTCTAGATAATGGAACCACATCTCACGATTCAACAGTTGAAATTATGCCGGCCATCGTGCCTCTATTATATATGAATTAAAGTATTCACTGCGACCACTCATATTCTAAATAAAACTAAACTTGTTACGGCCAAAAAAAGATAACTTTCGATCAACTTTTGAAAAACAAATTCATTATATTAGATAAGTATTTGTTCTTATATTTATACAATAAGTTCAGAAATGTTTTACATTACTGGATGTTGATAGTAGCAAATGCAGTCATCAATATGTCATAATTATTTCTGATCATTATTAATTGTTGAATGTCTAAATCACAGTTGAGGTATTTTCAAGCAATGTCCACAACACCTTTAGATGATGAATCTTACTGTTAACAAAAAAAACCAAAAAAACAACTTTTATCATAGTTTGTTACTCTGCATTTATGCATGCTATAGATCATGTGCTTTTATCTTAGACAGAGTCATACCACTCCTTATAACAGTTTTATTTTTCACCCGTAACAGCATGGTCATCTCTCGAACAGTTTGCTGCTTGTTTTCTTTCATGTGTACCTGGGTTTGAGAAGCTGACGGAGGTTTGTTGTCAAACAGGACTTGATGCAGTGTGTACAAATCTGCCATGGGATTCGCTGAAGACAAGTCTTGGCCAGTGTCATGGTAAATTGGCGAAGTCTAGAGATTCTGAAAGGGAGAATTTATTTCATAAAGAAAAGAGAAGAATAAACATGTTTATGATCTTTGTGAAACATCTTTCCAACTTTCAAAGGATTCCTGTAATAAAAAAACCCAACAGTGGTCCAATAATAACGTTTTAATTTTCCCTTAACAGTTATCGCCCAAATGAGTAAAAAATCGACAAATACTGTCAAAAAATTAAAGTTATTTAAATGAACTTAGATTATTTAACTTACTCTAAAACTTGTTATTACATTTCGTTGATATTTCAAGCAATAAGTCCGTGCTCTTCTAATCCTTGTGTGCATGGTACGTGTCATCAAAATAGTAACAGCTTTCATTGCACGTGCTCATCGGGATACATCGGTGCATTATGTGATAAGCGTATTTCTTTTGAGTTACGTTCTTTGATGGATCCCTCAAAACCCGACATTTTCCGTTTATTTTCGTTCTTTATAAAGTCAACCGATCGACAAATTGTTTATGAAGAAATTCAAACTGTTTAACTTTACCCTTTCCGATAACTGAAAGAGACGGAAAATGACGATGTTAAGCGAATTAAAACAATCTGAAGTACTTCAATTTTCAATTAGAATTTCAATGATTTTGTACAAAACAAAATGTTCTGTATTTAACTGTGACTCAAAATAAGCGTGAAAAGCGTTTATAAATTCTTACGACACCTAATTACTCTACGCTGCTTGTACATAGGTGCCATTTTGCATTTTAGTTGTGTAATGAAATAGCACAAATCAGCATTCGTACCTTATCTTGCATAAATCTTGCTCACGCATGCTTTTATCAACGGAAAAGAAAAATGTGTTTAACTGAGAAAAAGAGGACACGAGAAGGCTCCGTATTACGTTTCCATAACACGTGGCTTAAGATGGCATGAACATTAAGATAACTGCAATTTAACAACGATAATTAAATGTCAAATACTTTTACACTCGTGCATTAGAAAGGCATTACTTTATTAAGATCTTTGAGGAATTGTTTACAATTAAGTTAGGGTTTGACCAATAACGTGTGTGAAAAATTTCAGATCATTCGCTCTTTCCGTTTTTTCCTTTTCCAAGAAAAAAGAACACAATTAAAAAATATTTAATGTTTTCATATACACCAGTTGATCTATGTGCAAATTTGAAACCTTCAATTCTATATAAGCAAATGTACTGTCTAGCATAGGGTTTGTTTAAATATATATAATACATTTCAATTAAATTGAATGTTTCAATTTTGTCTGGAATACTAGCTCTAGATTTAGAAAATAGTAATATATTTTTCTATGTATTGTCTTTTATTACAGCTGACTCCTGTTCATCTAGCCCATGTGTCCATGGCGTCTGCACTGAACTGACGAATGGGACATTTCATTGTACATGTAGCTCGGGATTCACTGGCCTACTTTGTGACAAAGGTATTAAAGCAGCACGCCTTCATGAACAAAATTATTATAAAAAAAGTTTATTGAACGTATAGGTCCTAATCTTAACCCTTTCGCTGCCAGAGGGTTATTGTTTTATTGATCACCTATTTGCCAGAGGGTTTTCTAAGAAATTACTATATTATTAATTAATATTATTATTATTATTGGTTATTCGTATTATAGTAATTATATATGTTTCCAAATCTGTTAGTATAATAAAAAAATTATTGTCGATGGTATAATTTTCTTTATATTTATTATTATTATTATTATTAACGTATTATTATTATTATTATTATTATTATGATTATTATAGAAACGGCAAAAGCCGTCCATATGGCAAATACGCCGAAAATAACAGTGAAAGGCTTACACAAGTTCCCAGTAACGATTTAATTGTAATATACATTAAAATTTAAGCTGAAATTGGCCCCCTCGTTTCTCGTCAGTCCTGTACAATTGTTATTGAATACATATTTCTACTGATTGCTAACATATATCGTATTCGGCTACAATTGGAGTTTTGTACCATTTCAAAGACCTTTTACTTGAACTGTGCACTGCGGTTACGGCTCGTGTTTTATTTAAAAAAAAAACAAAAAACAAAAACAGAATCCGTATCACTTGAACAGAATCCATATGCTGTGCGGTGCAGATCTCTTAATCTATTCTTTTCAATTTTCACACGATTGCTGTAATAAAAGAAAAAGAATGATCCAATAATAACGTTTTAATTTTCCGTTTAAAGTAATGTCATGTCAATGTCTCAAAAATCGAAAGGATTAGAAATATTTAACCATCATTTAAATAAAATAAGATTATTAAACCTTACTTCTGAAGATTAGCATTTTCTATGCAAAAAGTAGTTAATTATACATTACTTTTTCCAGCAATTAGTCCGTGTTCTTCAAATCCGTGCGTACATGGTGCATGCCATCAAAAAAGTCACACATTTCAGTGCACGTGTTTTCAGGGATACATCGGTGCATCATGTGATAAACGTGAGCATTACCTTTGAATAGCGTTAAATGAATATGATAGAATTCTCAAAACACGACATTCATCGCTAATTTCCGTACTTTATGTAAACAGATCGGCAAAATGATCTTGATGAAAGTAATACTGTTTAACTTTACGCTTTCCGATAACTGAAAGGGACGGAAAATATCGATGTTTAGCGAATTTCAACGATCTGAAGTACTTCAAGCAATATTAAGGATATAATTGTTTTTGTACACAACAAATTGCTCTGCTGTATTTAATTGTGATGCCTATGCATAGTTGCAATTTTGCATTGTTGTTTAAGATACTAGCTCTGGATTTAGAAAAAGAGTAATATTTTTATTTTTGTTCCTATATATATTCTTTAATTACAGCTGACCCCTGTTCACCTAGCCCATGTGTCCATGGCGTCTGCTCTACACTGACGAATGGGACATTTAAATGTACATGTAGCTCGGGATTCACTGGCCTACTTTGTGACCAAGGTATAAAAGCAGCAAGCCAAAAATAAACAAAATTATTATAAATAAAGTTTATGAAACGGATACCGGTTCATAACTCTAGCATTCAGTTACGATTGAAATATTATGTGCATTTTTAACTGAAATTAACCTTTTCTGTTCTCTTCGGCCATTTACAATTGTTATTGAATAAATATATCCACTAATTTCTAAAAGAATTCGTACTGGGCTACACTTGCATTTTCTTAATGTTATAGACTTCATACTTGAACTGTGCACTTGGGTTTGTGGTTTGGTCTTTTAAAATAAAAAAGCCCTTGAACAGGATCCATATTATGCCGTTCTGTGCATATATCTTGAACTATTCTATCCAAATTTCAATGGATTGCTGTAAGAAAAACAATGGTCCAATAATAATTTTTCAGTTTATAGTACTGATGTCTAAATGATTCAAAAATTGAACAAAATTAAAAACAGTGTACCATCATTTAAATAAAATTAGATTATTCAAACTTATTTAAAACTGAGCATAGTCTATTCAAACAATAATTGCATATGCATTATTTTTTCAAGCAATTAGTCCGTGCTCTTCAAATCCGTGCGTACATGGTACGTGTCATCAACATAAACACAACTTTCAGTGCGCGTGCTCACCAGGATACACCGGCACATCATGTGATAAGCGTGAGTATTGATTTTGATAAGCTTTCAATGAATGTGATACAGTCTTGAAAACTCAGCATATTCCGTCTTTTTCCGTTCTTTATAAAAGCAATCGATCGACAAAAACATCATGAAGACTGCCAATCTGTTAAGCTGTACGCTTTCCGATAACCAAAAGGGGCGTAAAAATGACGTTTTTACCAACTTAAATTGTATTGTCTTTAATTACAGTCGATCCCTGCTCATTTAGCCCATGTGTCAATGGCGTCTGCTTCCCACGTGCAAACGGAGAATTTCATTGTACATGTATCTCGGGATTCCATGGCCTACTTTGTGACCAAGGTATCAAAGCACCACGCCTCCAGAATCAAAATTTAAAAAAATCAAGTTAACCAAATGTATACCTGTTCAATACTCTAGTACCCAGTAAAGATTTAGATAAAATGTACATTTCAAGCTGAAATTGACACTTTTTCTCTTTTTTCTCTTCAGTCTTAAAGATACAATATTCCTTCTGATTTTTAACAAACATCGTATTGGGCTGCTTTTTCTTTATTTTATAGACATTAAACATGAAATGTGCATTTGGGTTTGTGGCTTAGCGTTTTAAGCAAAAAAAAATTAAATAAATAAAAAACAAATAAATAAGATGAAAACAAAAAAATAAAAGATTGAAAAGGTAGTGAAATGATAAAATCAAGAGATGTCACTGAAAGGCTTTAACATGCGTCCCATAACGTTTAAGCGGAAAACCAATATACTATTCACAACTAGGCATTTTGACAAACAATCCTGTGACGTTTCCTTGAAATTACCGAAACAGTTTTGGAGATGTAGAGAGAACAAGCTTGATTTACTAAAAACGGACAATTAATAGACCATTACTGTGCAAATAAAATCAAGCAGAAGATCAAGAGTGTCTGCACAACTATAGGCTTGGTGATTAACAATCCTGTGAAATTTTTCCAGAGCGATTTCCCCATTACACTTTCGTGTTTTTTACAATTTTGCACTAGCATTGTTTTATCGTGCAATCGTGTCGTTCCACCGCGTTAGACCATCGTTCTGTCGCGTTTTTACGCTAGTAGGATCTCAATTTCATCTTTATTTAACCGAGTTTTCACTATTGCACATTAGCGTCTGCAATCATACCATTACTCATTTAATTTAGTCATTATGCGATCGTACCATCAACATATTTTCCATTGTGCCAGCCAGATTTATTTCTCAACCGAATCACAGCGTTTTGAAAATTGTGTAATCACTATTTCATCATCGCATTTGTAGCTTTTACAGTCGTGCAATCGCATTTTGATATAGTAGTACCATAACACTTTTACCTTCTTGTTTTCACAATCTTGCAATCGCGTTTTTTTACCATGGAACTTTGATTTTTAACCATCGGCAAACGCTTTTTCGCCAGCGTGCCACTGCGCTTTCTTCATCGTATCACTGCGTTTTCGCCATCATGCCACTGTGTTTTTGTCATCGTGTCACTGCGTTTTCACCATCATGCCACTGTGTTTTTGCCATCGTGTCACTGCGTTTTCACCATCGTGCCACTGCGTTGCACCATCGAGCCACTGCCTTTTCATTTTTGTACATCGAAACTGACTTTAGTACAATCGCATTTTCTATATCGTCATATAATCAGCATAATGAAGTAACAGGTAAATTCCTATAATATTTCATAGAAGTTAATCAGTTACTGCACCAAGGCGACGATACAATACATTGACTATGAAGATTGTATCCTTCATTCGTCTGAACATAACTTCATCAAAACAAGTTTGTTGTTCCAAAGAGTAATCTTGAATTTTTATACATGTTTTTATCATGAACGTATTATTATCATTTATGCTGGAGTGGTCCAAGTTTCATTTTTAAATTCGTATAAAAATTTCTTAACATTTTATTTTAGTCATCTATGTTATTATTAGCTTTCAGATGGCTCAAGTCGTCATATTATTTAAATTTGATTTACATTAATTTTTTTTTCATTGCATTTTAGTTATCGTAATCTGATTTGGGTTGGCCGGACATCTATCTTGACAAAAGTACATCATTTCTTATGATACAATTATACATTTATTTCAGTTATCAAAGATTGTAAGGACGTTCAAGATAATCACGTGACCAGTCAAACTGGAGGTGGAGTTTATTCAGTGAAGATAAATGGTCAACTTACAAACGTCATGTGTGACATGGTGACGTCAGGGGGAGGATGGACGGTAACACAGTTGCAATAGTTGTTACAGTTAAACCATAGTATTGTCAATTCTAATACATGTATATTGCCGCTAATTGAAAGCATTTGAAGACAATATATTGAGATAACTATTTCTGTTAAACCTTATGGTATTCTTTTGTTTTGAAATATAATAATCTGCCTACATGTAGTCTATATTACGGTCGTCGTATGAAGCCTGAAGCATACATTTAAAAGTTATATCCCTTTTTCCTTCAGAATATATCTTAGATATTTAGTTTGTTTCCACCTCAAGTGAATATCTACACTTGCGTAAGCCTTCACGTCAATTGAGTCAAGGTCAATGTCAAAAAATCTTAAAAATAGATTTCTTGAGGTAGTGTTCAGAACTGTCAGGAAAAATTGTATCAAGATTTGTTTGTTGTTCGGGAGAATCGAAGTCGGTACAATGAAGGCTATGTTGTAAGGTTTCTTGAGTATTACGGTTTCTATTTCAGCATTGTTAAAGCATTTTCGAGAAACATATTGCGGTGAGTATTGTGCGGTGTTCTTGTTTTTTAGGTTATCATGAATAGAGAAAACAACAACCAGAATTTTGAAGACCAGAGTTTCTCTTCCTATGCAGATGGGTTTGGAGATATACGGAACAACTTTTGGGCAGGTAGGAGAAATATATTTGTTTTCAGATTGTTAAAATATATCCCCTTCGTGACTAGGTTTTGAGTCCCTCTTAGACCTAAAATATTGTACTTATGTGACTAATTATGCCTATGCAGGCAATTAACCTCTGATATATTTCAAATTTCCATTTTCTTAGTTTAGCCCATTTCTTGTGTAGGGCACACGTATTTTTTTACTTTAGGACTTATTGCCGCTTTTCACAGAATGACACTTCAAAGTCACATTGAAAGTTGCATTATAATCGCCGTATAGATACATCTGCTGATGACTCTAAGTTCAAAATTCTACCACTTCATATTAAATGTTGAATTCAGCTTCAGTCGGTGCTTGGGGCCGAAGAAGGTACTTTTACTTTCCAGTACCGTACCAGAACAGCTTAATCAAGCCAAGCCTGTAAGATTGTTAATTTTGCTGCTTTGGACTTTCTTTAGTTATTATACTTCTCTCTATTTTTCAAGCTCTATAGGTAGTGACAGTTCGAAAGTGTTCCTTCTTACATTTGTCTTGCTGATTGTACAAAACATTCAATCTGTATTTAAAATTTTCAATTTCAACTTTGTACAAGTTTAATAATTGAACAGTTATAGACTCGGAGTAATGAAAAACTAAATCATATTCGAAATCATGCCATTAAGTTTAGCTACCGCATGTACCTCTTGAATAATAATAATAATAATAATAATAATAATAATAATAATAATATAAGGTAACCGTATTTTTCTTATGTAATATCTTCTATTGTTTTACATGTTTTGTAAACTTGAAAACAAAAATTGCAACCTATTCTAGGCATATTTAAAATTTCAGTCTAAATATTTTGCTGCTAAATGATATGCTGTTATTAGAAAACATGGAAACACATACCTGTACTATTTTTAGACTGATCTTCAGACATACTATTTCTGTGAACCGGAAGTGTGTTTAGCGTATTTATAAGGACTTATCTGCATGACGTAACGAAAACAAACTCAGAATGCACATGAATGTTTCAACAGGTTGACCCAAAAAATATGTTCTTGCAAAACATGAAAAACTAGGAAGCCAATCTATATTTAAGTACTTTGATTGTTTCAGGCTTGGAGAAAATGAACGGTCTTACAAAAGATGGCCGCCGATACCAGCTAAGAGTGGAACTAGGACTGGCTAATGGAAGCAAGTACTTTGCTATGTACGATGACTTTTCCGTCGGGCCACCAAAGGATTTTGTTTTGCATCTCGGCAGATACGTAGGAAATGCGGGTATATTTTCCGATTGCAAATTTAAAACAATTTTAATGATCATTGTGACCGCGCCACTTGTCCCTCTAAGAAGTTGACGGGGCTCGATAGAGGATCCCCGCACTATTTAATAGGCTAGAGTCTCGTTGTTATCGGAATTAACCAGACAAATCGCTCCACATACTTAGAACGGCCATGCACCACCACCCACCAAATCAAGAAATAGCTCTCAATCTGTCAATCCTTGCAGTGTCCGGGCCGGGTGAGGTTCCCCGTGTTGAGTCAAATTAAGCCACAGGCTCCACTCCTGGTAATGCCCTTCCGTCCATTCCTTTAAGTTTCAGCTTTGCAACCATACTCCTCCCGGAACCCAAAAATCTAATAGATAATAACATTCTAATAGATATTAACATTCACACTTCAGGTGTTCATATACGTAGGGCACATTATGTTAGGGATAATCTCCGAAAACTGTCCATTACACTATGCGCCGAGTTTATTCTCACACATAATAGACACTTCGAGGAGTTTCTCTAACATAAAACATGTTCTCTGTTGTCTTTGTAATGGACAGTTGTATCAATTTGTGCATTCCATGCAAAATTGAAAATTGCTTGCATCTTTTGTTTACAATCAGACAATTAATGTTATTTGCTTTTTGATTGTTAAAAGAAATACATAGTCGTACAGGTCAAACGCATGATTTACAGACTTAATTTTTAGAAGTCCTTAAATATTAAAACATCTCTATTGGTTTTACGTACATATTGGAATAATAAAGTGAACATGTGTATATTTTCATTATCAGTTATAATTATTTTGTTGATTTTTCATCATAGTTATGCCTTCATTTTTACAGTTTTTCATAAAACTTTAACTTATACACAATTGCTGTTTTGCTTTGTTTCAATCAAAAGAATTCGAAGAAACCAAAATTCAATTTCACTGGCTACAGTAAATCAAGTAGAATGCACTAAATGAAAAGACAACATTCATCACAAATTTCCAAGTGCTGCCGTTAGTCCTTTGCATTGTTTAGTTGTGTTGTCTGTCTTTGTTAAGGAATCTGATACAAATAAGCTCCTTATTAATGCTACGCTATTGTTATAGAAGGTCACCTTCTCGTCACCATTAAAACAGCCAATTTTGAAAGCAATGCGGTTTCTAATTTTAACCGCTTGAATACCAATACTGAGTAGGTAATTTTCACGATCTCCGCTGTCCATAAAGCCGGCAGATAAACTGGTAAAACAATTTTTCTCATTAAAATTGACTCTATTATTTCCAATTTATTTGTTTCAAATTACTTCAAACTTTTTTATAACAAAAATCAACAATTTGTTTTCTTCTTAGTACACTTCGTCTAATGTCTATATGTTAAGGACAGTTTGATTGGCTAAAAAAAGCTTTCTTCTTATGAAATACGGATCACAATGAAGGCGAAACAAATACGGTTTTAAACAGATCTACGTGCAAGAAATATATGAAGTAGATCTGAATTTAAGTCAAAATTGCTTTTGTAATAACATTGTACCGGAAACAAACTGTTCATTTCTAACATGAACATACTAAATTAGTAAACGTCTGAGTAAAAACAAACGCAAAATAATGTTAAGGTTTTCTTGCATTTAAACTTACGGTGAGGACACAATCGTTTTCCAGTAAATATATGCTAAGAAACAGAAGTTAATACTCTTTTGGTCAATGTGCGAGTTTAATTTCTAACTGCATTTTTTATGTCCCGCTCTGAGACATCTGCAAAAACGAAACAATAACTACATGTCCGTTATTATGATAAACCTTGGATGTACAAGTATCGGATACATTTAAGCAAATATTGGGCAGTGTCTTCATTCTATCAATACAATAAACACATTAAAGTACAAATACAACAACATATGAAGTCATAAACATGAATTAATAAATCTTTCCAGTAACTTGCATCTGCTACTTGAAATAAACAGAACAAAAGATTCGACTGCATTCTTCGTAAACATATTTTTACATTTTACATGGAGAACATAAGGCGAGTGTTATATTGTAAATAATCGTTTATATTATATGTTACACTCACTACAGTGTTGGAGTATTACCTCTAGGCGCTTGCAGAAATCATTATCGCAAAGTATAAGAATATCGTGTTTCGCCAACTCTTACATTTTCATTCTTTATCATATATATCGGTGTGAACAGACCACTAGACATCTTAAATTGCAGTTTGCCGGTAAAAATTGGAAATTTTAGCGTTGATTTTAATCATTCAAGCACATTGTCCAGTATATATCAGAACACGGTATTTAGTGTGATGCTCGAACACTTGTTTTAGTCTCACATGGTCTGCTTCGCTCTTATCCTTAGTTTTTGCTATAATCTGATTTTATTGACCTGTCAATTTTGAATACATTATAGCACTCATTTAAATATTCGATTTCACTTCGGCTCTGTCCGTGTACTTACGAGAATTAATATGGAATATTTTACTAATGTTTTGAAAGTCACACAAGCTTAATGCAAGAACCATATAAAAACCGCGAAAGCACAGACGGAAGAGTGATTGTCTGATATATTACAGGTCTGTAGTTCGATCCCTACTTTTGCCATTGATTTTAGGCCTACTCTTTTTCTCATTTTTACAGAATATTTTCATTGAATGACCGGGCTGCTTCCAGGATTGTCTACACATACATGAATTAGCTTAGAAACATTGTCTCGATTTGTATTGTGTTTTACGCCATTGAAATGACGTTTACTAATTTTAATCCGAATGAATTATAAATATTAATTCTGAAACCATGTTGTTGTTTTTTAGAAAAAAGAGTTTAGACTTTACAACAAATAATTGCTTAACACAATAAATTAAAACGAACAACATTAAAAACAATCATAGTTCCAATAATGTTGAAAGTAGTTATCAATAAGAAAAAAAAACAACATTGGACGTACACGGTCTCGATCATACATTACGTAGGACACTTAGAAATCATTAACCCGTTGATAACCCTATTGCGCTATCAGTATAATAACTTCGTAGACACAAATTTTATTTTATCAAATCTCACTTTGTGCATCTCACGGAAATTACCGAAAATCTTCCGAAGATTAATATATTGTGTGCATTGACCGTGTTATGAGTATGGAATTGACAGGTTAATAAAACCAAACAAGATTTTTTTTTCTGCAGATGAGCATTTTATAGTCATTTGTTTTGGAAAAATGACAATGCTATTTATTTTTTCATGTTTTTTAAAACTGTTTTAACATTATCAACAGGTGACTCGCTATCTGGACATAACGGGTTTGGATTTACTAACAAAGACGTTGATCGTGACAGTAGCTCGGTAAACTGCGGGGTCTATCTACACGGTGCTTGGTGGTTCCACAGCTGTTATGACTCGTGTTTGACGTGCCCGTATGAAACTCCTGGTTCAAACAACTGTCGCTCTTTCTCTTGGAACAGCCTTGCATATTGTATCGCGCTAAAATCCGCGCGAATGATGGTGCGACCAATGTAGGAAAATTGTGTTTGATAAAATAAAAGTAATAGACGTTTTTGGCTGTTCAATAGTGAGTTGTGTTTTATTGTAAACTATTAAACATTGAAATCTTGTAATGTTTTATCGTCAATTGAAATAAATTTGAAAGAGTGAAGCAAATGAAAAGATGTTGTTGTTCAAAAGCTGTCTTTGTTTGCATGTTGTTTTCTTAGTCCGTGGTACGCGAGATTAATCTTTTTATTCGTTATTATTATAATATAATCTCTGAAGATATATTTTATTTGAACAAAAAGGGAAAGCAAGAAAAAAGAAAGAAAGAAAAGAAAAAGAAAAAGAAAGAAAGAAAAGAAAAAAAAGAAAGAAAAGAAAGGAATAGGAAGAAAAAATGAAAGAACAAAGAAAGAAAAGGAAGAAAGAACGTAAAAGAAGAAAGAAAAGAAAGAAAAAGAAAAGAAAGAAAAGCTTTTGTGATTGTGTTAATGTGATTGTGTAATCAAATTTTCCGTATTTTAAGGTAAATAGAAATATATCATTTTGTGAGCTATAATAGGGCATCAAAAGTGAAAAAAACTTTTGAATAACACAATATCAATTTATTTCTTGGGCATAATGGGCCTTTTAAAGTCCTTGTGATTTTGATATGAAATAAGTTGTAATAAATGATAATGGATTGTAGTAATTAGAGATTTGTCATTATTATTTTTTATATATGAAAAATAATACATATGCGATAAATGGTGGATGTTTTAAAACAACAAAAACAACAACAACAACATAATCAAACTTATGTATCTTTGTTCTGCTTGAACCGAAAGTGGATAGCGTTAAACGTTAAAACGTTAAAGCGTTGACAATATTAGGATCGAGCCAGCCGGCATGGCCTCAAAAAGCATTAAAGTGTTGGCTACGAAAGGTCAGTGGTAACATTTTAACTTCTTGAATTCTCGGGTTCATCAATTCAAATCTCTTGCATTCACTATTTCAACTTGATGAATTCACGATTTCAACATCGGAAAATAAGGATTTTAACTTATTAAGCGAATTCCCGTGTTTAACTTCGTGAAAGTGAAATCATGAATTCCTAAAGTCGAAATTGGAATTCGTGAATTTTAGATCCTGAATTTAATGAAATTGAATTCATGAAGTTGAAGTCGGAGTAAATTCATAAAATTGGAATCATAAATTTACGCACTTGAATCGTGAATCGTGAATTCACAAAGCTGAAACAAATACATAAATAAGTAAGCAAAAATAATTTCTAATAATATTAATGCGGGAAAATCAATAAGGGAGAATGCTGGCAATATCTATTAACACAGGAAAACGGCCAAAGGCACCACAGGGGGAAAATACCGAAAATTAACCTAAAAGCCATCCACAGGGGCAACGAGTACAACAAAATATTCCTTTCAGGCAATAATCTAGCTTTGCTAGTAGAAAAAGACCCAAGATAAACTGACAATGATTATTTCATGAAAAGACAAGGACAGAACACAGATAAAATCCCATATGATTATTCCATAAAACAATTCTGATCCGCAGCAACGACAGGCATGTTATTCAATGTCTTGTCCATACCTTTATCAGGTGAATTTTAAAGTTCAACAAAGATTGGACTTCTAAAATGAATTAATTATATTTAGTTTATCCTTCTTAAACGTTAACAGTTATACATGTCTATTAAGAATACGTTGACATTGAAAATTTGGACACCAAGTGTGCAACACCTGGCCTCTTTCACTAGCTTTAATCATTTTCAGAATACATAATAGAATAATCAAAGTTTCAGAATATGACGCTGGTATATTGTGTTTTAGGTTGAAAATAGTAAAACACAAGCAATTATCTGGATTAGGTTAGAAAGTTATGCATACATGTATATGTCCGGACTCATGATATTGTAATTAAGACAATTTCGGATGTTTTCATGCCCCACTACAGAGGCTTCAAATACAAGTGTTTACAATATCGGAAATAAACAAGTTAATTCTTCAATTTTAAGAAACACTTAGCTTTATTGTGTCCAAATTTAGCAGGTATCTTCCTTTCCAAATCTTCGCAAAATCTCGTAATGGAAAAAATGTTCAAAAAAGTGTGATAACTATTGTAGCAAAGTTGTTAAAACCAGATATTGACATTAATGAAAAGGTTAAAAGGGATAATTCCGAGCACGGTGGATAATTCATTAAATAACTGTTTCCTAAAGGTTAAAAGGAATACTTCATTCAACTAACCCGAACACTGTGGATAATTCAGTTAAATTACTTTTTCCTTAAGTTTAAAAAGAATAATTCAACTGTACACTTTGGGAAATTAAATATAATATTAAAATCACATAATATATTCATATCTTTTCCGGCTGGTAGTGATACCAATTAAGTAATCATAAACCAGAAAATTTATGAGTTTAGTTTATTCTTAACCAAGTTATTTAGCATAAGCAAATGTGTTGTTTTTTATATTCTTTATAGGTATGGCGTTGGAGCGTTTACAAAACGTTTACTGGTTGATATTTTATGGTAAATTTTGACGATAATATAACATTACCTACAATACTTCTATAAAGGTATTTGTAGTAAAGTGTTGCGCAATTTTGATGCACTACCCTTGTTCCATTTTGCAGAAATTGATTTTGGTTGTAATATTGCCATTCTACAGACACCATTTTCAGATTGGTCAGTGTCAACCATTGCCAAAAAATTGAATTCATTGTGGTCAGTTCAACATTGACAAATGCCGGTGTGATACAAACTGCAATACTGATCAAAAACAACGTACGTGCAGATAAGTTATAAATATGCATCAGAAATAGTCTAGTACCCTACGATGTAATTCCAATTTATCATTATAAAAGAGATGCATATCATCAACATAAATCTTAAAGCAACATCGAGTCTTGAACTTAACATAAGTTGATCTGCGTATATCTAGTCAAGAAATGTACATAACTTACTTCTGTTTTTTTTTCCGTTTATTTACACCTTTTGTGGACAATAAAAACATACATAAAATGCGGCTGTGGCAAAACATTTCACCGTCAACTTTGAATCAGACGAATGGCCATTTAGATAATAGATCTTGTTTTTCTGTATAGTCATCTTTAATGAACTTTTTAATCAGACATGGTCAAAACAGACAAATGCTACAATCCAATACAAAACCTTGACCAATTTTACAGGACTCTCTCAAAAGGTACCCACTCATTGTAGTTCATACCAATTATTTGCATTGTATTGTTCTTCTAAATGTAACAACCTCATCACTTCATTGGAAGATGTCTATACACAGAATAGATATATTAAGACGTTAAAAATGCCAAAAATTAAGATTTTGCAGGCTCGATTTGAATATTGATTAAACATATTCATGTTCAATATTGAAATTTGCAAGCTACCGTTCACACTCCCCTGGAGTCGGCTTAAGAAGATATCATCATTTAACATTAAATAATAAAAATAAAAATTATATCAATCTTAAGTCTGAAGGATAGTTTGTTCAACTAAAAAAACTACGGTAGGTGGTCGAGATCGCGCTTTGTCTTTATATATGCTGAATGACTCATGATGAACGAATAAATGGAACGTATAACGTATAACGAACGTGAATTGCAGACAGTGAAATAAACAACTTGAAGCAAGAATAAATAAATAAAATATATATATAAAAAATAAATAAAGCAAACAAAATCAAGTGAAAATATTATTCAAAAATGTTCAATGACTTGTCTAAAGACTTCAATCTACATATTGTATTGACAGTTTAACTTGCTTTAACCCGTAACATGCTACAAAACTTAAATATTGTTGTCCCCTTTGAATATGGATATCAGACTATTTTTAATTTTTATTGTTAGTATTGACCGTATAGAGATAAACGCCACAGACCAAGATCATGCAACGAGAAGGTGCCTGATGGTTTCGGTACCGTCAATTTGCATGGAAGCAAACAGGCTAAGTTGGTGTAGACATTTTATGATTATACTCATGTTTGTTAGTGTATATAGTAAATATATTTTGAATAAAATGGTAAGAATATATATAATTGTGTTACATATTAGAAAGTTACTCAAAGTTTTTACAAAAATTAAATAAAGTATTATGTTGGTCAACCTTTAAACCCCATGTTTACAATAAATCATTTACAATTGTCCTTCTATATAGTATACTGTTACATAAGAACATAAATGAGGCAGCATAATTGGACACGCACACACACGCGCACGCACACAAGTAAATACATGTCCTTTGTAAAAGATGCTCATCTGTTTTCTATTCTTTCTGTTTATGTTGAGAATCACGTTCTAAAATCAAAGAAAATCGTTACTTATCTTCACTTGCGGGTCAACATAAAACCATAAACGATAGCTTATCGCATATTCTACATTAATTTAGGACTTGATACTACTAAAGCTTAAGGTGAGAGTTGTTATCTTTTAATATTGTAAATCACAAAGTTTATTTCTGTTTAAAAGGTCGGATGTGATATGTGTTGAATGTATCTAGCAAAAGTGTAGAACAATACCGCTGGAATTCTCAAAAAAAAGTAACTCATTTAACCATACTTCATTCTTTATCCGTATTGTCATATATTATTAATTGCATAAAAAGATAAATTTATATAAGGTCTGTCTTATTTAATTTCTTCATATCTAAATGTTAAATTTGTGCTTAGGCCGGTGCAAAAGGGATTGAACTCTAGCTTGCACTATCCACTACCGTCTAAACTCAACTGTGCAATATTTTCAATTGTGCCGTTTTTTTTGTGGTGCTCTTTAGAGATTTCTGTTGCAGGTACCTGGCACAAAATGACTTATATATCAGCCACAAAATCCATATTTTTATTATCAATTTGTGTGTTCTTATTCGAAAGGACAAACGGACACATGCTAGGAATCGATAAAGGTAATCATGATATTGATATATTTTTACGGGACACGCAACATTTTTTTTATTTCGACGTAATATGATCATCACCGTTCTACACCTTCTGCTCACTTGGTAATGCGTTGGACTGTAAATCGGGCGATACGATTTAAATTGCCAGACGGTGCAGGTCAGTTTTGTTCTGATTGATCATGAAATCCTTTCTATGGTCAATCGCACCGTACCTTTCCTCTGGCTTGTACATAATTATATCAGTTCCTTGCAAAAGTAAAAGCACTAGTAGTGATAAACTGCCTGAAAGTCTGTCCAGGAACGATGCAGTGGTTGAACTCTTGGTTGGTAAATTCAAAGATGAAAATATATTGAGAACACACAATGAATATAATATGTGAAAAGTAGGAAAACATATCCGAAGGCAAAAGCATATTACTAATATGTGTATTTTTCACCTATTTGTTATTCACACGTTGAACAATAATCTGATATTTTATAAAACTTTAATAAATAAAAAAAAACGAGTAGCCAAAATAATAATTTGTATTTGTATATTTCACATCAATTTTCTGTTGTTTTAGAAATAGAGTTGTTTCAGACGCACATTTAAATGAAAATATATTATGCTCATTTGTACATACTGTTGTTTTTAAGATGACGGGATAGTACTTGACAAGAGATTTATACTAACGACAAATTCCAAGCAAAGTAAGTAGTGTATATATCGCTGCAAAACTACATTTAAGGGATCTCCGCTGAGGTTATTGGACATGACGGTACTGGAAATATTTTTCCGAGATTTGTATAACATTTGATGAAGTTCTTTTGCATATTTGCAAATCATTCCTCCAGAATCGTCATGTTTATTGTGCATAATGACCCAAATATGAAAAGCTTAGCAACGTTTTTCACTCAAATTTGATAATGAATCAGAAAAATAATTGAGTGTCAACATATAATTTATTTGAGCATATGTTTTGTTTATCATTGCAGATGCTTCCATTGTAAGTGTTTCACTTAATCTATATACGAATTTCAAATTATATATTGTGGGTTTTTTGACATCTGTTGAGCTCCTGTAAAAAGTAATGCAATAAGTAAGACTTAGCAAATATACTGACCAGACTATAGACTCACCAAGTGTGGGGAAGTAGGGCTGGCCCTTTCGAATTTGTAAGTTTACAACTTCCTTTTAGCTTGACAAAGTAATGCTAATGTATCACTTTCGGGTTTCACCTTGCTAACACTTAAAAGGCATCGAGGATATCTAAAGCCTAAAATTTAAACGTCATAATGGTACGGTATAGACTGATACCCAAACATTGCATTGAAACAAAGGACACGTCATTTTTGGCTTTATCAAAATGCATTAGACCTATAAATATACTCTCGTTCTTTCTTATATTGTGCTATTATTATTTTCTGAATGTTCCACTGATAGATTGGACCACGTTGGAGCAATTTTCATCATGTTCATTAACTTGTGTTCCCGGCTTTGAGAAGCTTACCCAAGTATGTTGTGACACTGGCTTGAATGCAGTGTGTTCCAATCTGCCTTGGACTTCACTCAAAGCAAAATTAGGAACATGTGTTGGTACGTATTTGCTATTTATTAGCGCTGGCATATCTTGGAAGCATTTTTGGCCAAAGGTATTGTAAATAGTAGAGTTAGATAATTGTAATAATGAACAGTTACTGTATATTTTGCGTATGTTATTTACAGTAAAAAAACGGTTATTTTCTTAAAAAATGAACTACTATTATATGGGACGCAATAGCTACTTTGTTCACAATGTATATAAGTTATTTTTTAATCAAAAAGAGACGGCTTTTCTGGTAAGGTAATAAAGGTGTCTAATGAACGTATTCACTAACTATTCACATATAAGTGTTTTAAATATTGCCAAGAATCAGTTCTATCATTGGATAAACTAAATATTCATCTAGCTTATGAAGGTCGGACGTTTTGCTCTTGTATTAGCTCATTTCTTATATAATGTAAGAAGAAACATTTTAGATCTTTCTCCTCAAGTAAAGCTTCTATGACCTCATGTGGTCATTACTATGTTGGCATGACCAATGGCCTAACCACAAAATGACGGTAGCATTTTATCTTTCGAACAATTAACAAATTTAATACAGAAAAAGGAAGTAAAAAAACATGAATATAAGAAAATAGTGTGTGCACGAGGCCTATGATGGAGAAAATTCAAAATCAGTTTAACATTTGATTAGTATAGAAGAAAATTATCTTTAATCTCAATTGAAGAATTGAAATGCATTTTCAGATTTAACAGCATATGGCATTACGACGACAGGTATGTTGAAATTAAGTTATTGTGTCTTTTCTAAAAACAACATAACAGTTTTCCTCCATCACAATCTCTTTGTGGATAATTATAGAGTGAAAGAACGTAGAACTAATATACCATAGCCATACTTGACAATAATCAGCAAATATGCATGAATGTTTTTACATTGGTTAGTAAATAATTTACACGTCTGGAGACTTGTTTGAATAGTGCTAGACTGTGGATCATTGCTCAGCATTGTTCAACATTCAAGATAGGCTTTGTGGATTTATGGCGTGTAATGTCCCATAATAATATTCAAACAAGTTATTATTCATATAGAATTTAAGGTAAATTATAAAATTACATAAGGTTATAGAGGTTGGGGCCGCTGACTTCACTTCAGTGTAGCTATATTTTTCTTGTCCTTCGGTATCATTGAGTCCAGCACATTTAAGTGTTGAGAACTGAGTACCGCCAAAGCCGGTGCTAGAGGGCGTGAGGGATGTTGCAATTTTTCATTATCCCTCATGTACAGACTCAATCAAACAGAATCTGCAATGTACATGTTATTTTGCTGTTTCAGTGCTTCCGAGGGCACTTTTTTTAGATATTGGAACCACATCTCACGTTTCAGCAGTTGAAATTGTGTCGTCCATCGTGACCTTATTATAAATGAATGAAAGTATTCACTGTGACTACTCACATTCTAAATAAATCTTAACATGTTACGGTAAAAAATATAACTATTGATAAACTTTTGAAAAATAAAAACAAAAATAATAAAAAACCAATATATCGCCATTATATGAATTACGTAACTAACTGCTCTTATATCTATACAATTATAAAAGTTCAGAATTTTTTTACATTACTTGATGTTGAAAGTAGCAAATGCAATCATCAATATGTCACAATTCGTTCTGATCCTTATTAATTGTTGAATGTCTCACTGTTGAGGTATTTTCAAGCAATGTCCACAACACCTTTTGATGATGTATCCTACTATTTAAAAAACAAAAACAAAAACTATTATAGTAGTTTGTTACTCTGCATTTATACATGCTATAGATCATTTGCTTTTGTTTTCGATAGAGTCCTACTAATCTAAATATTTTTTTTACTCGTAACAGCATGGTCATCTCTCAAGCAGTTTGCTGCTTGTTTTCTTTCATGTGTACCTGGGTTTGAGAAGCTGACGGAAGTTTGTTGCCAGACAGGACTTGATGCAGTGTGTACAAATCTGCCATGGGATTCGCTAAAGACAAGTCTTGGCCAGTGTCATGGTAAATTTGCAAAGTCTATATATTCTGACAGGGAATTTATTTAATAAATAGAAGATAATTATAAATGAAGTTTTTCATCTGGGGCTGACTGAACTATTTCATTAGTTTAAGGAAAATTTCTTTCAATTTGTACAGCATTAAATATATACAGTAAGCATATACAAACATACTGATAGATTAAATGGATTGGAAAACAAGTCAAGTGTGACTATTTTTGAACATCTTTCAAACTTCCATAGGATTGCTGTTGTTAAAGTAATACAATGATTATTATTCCATTTACAGTTATGTCATCTCAATGTCTCAAAAAATCGACAATAACTATCAATAGATTTAATTAAAAAAGTCATTCAAATGGCATTTGATTATTTAAACTTAATTTAAAACTGAACATGTCATATGCAGATAGGAATTGCATATAGCGTTTATATTTTCAGCACTTAGTCCCTGCTCTTCAAACCCGTGCGTTCATGGTACGTGTCATCAAAATAGTAGCACTTATCAGTGCACGTGTTCATCTGGATACAGCGGTGTATTATGTGATAAGCGTGAGTATTTTTTTTAAATATTGTTAATTGAATACGATACGACCCTTACAAGTCGGCATTCTCCGTTTATTTCCGTTCTTTTATATAGTCAACAGCCTGAATATATATCGACGAAATGATCATGAAGAGAGTCAAGCTGTTGCACTTGACGCTTTCCGATAAACTGAAAGGGGCGAAAAATACCGATGTTTACCGAATTTAAAGGATCATGAGATTTTAAGCAATGTTATGGATTTCAATGCTGTTGTACATTGTCTGAAATATTTTTAGTGGTTCACGCCACCTAGCACCGGCTTAAGTGGTTCTTAATTGTCCAACAATGTTGGAATAAATGATCCCGATGGAAATGAATAATATTATAACACTAAAGTGATGTATGACCCAACTTTCTAAAGCCTCTGTTGTAATAAATCAACATCTGGAACAGTGTGATCCCTCGGAAGAATTATTCACATCAAAATTAAATAAAAATTGCAGACTTGATTTGATTAGTAGTAATACATGTACTAGTATGTACATGAGGGATAATGAAAATAAATGCTATAGCGGTACTCGATTTTCAAGATTAAGATTGTTGGAATCAATGATTCCAAAGGATCAGAAAAGTCTTCAGTCTACCAAAAGTATGAGTAATGGTAACTTCTTTACCTGCCAATAAGAAAGGTCAATCACAGCGAAAGTGACCTGCACCGCTCGGGAATCGTGTATAAATAGTGAAGTCAAAGTTCCTACCTCATTCGATGATGGCAACAATTCACCGAAATCAAGGTCATCTATTGATTAAGTAATAGCACTTGCGGGTATCACAAATGGCAAATCACCTAACTACGCACACATGCTTTATAAAAGACATTTTACACCCCTTCCACATCCAGACCACTCTAGAACCACCAAAGGATAATTAAGCATTACGAAACGCTCACGAATACAACATCAAATCTAACAACTTATTACGATTGTGCCATGAATATCTCTCGACGCAATTTTTTCTTTTGTTTTTAAAAAAACGACTCATCAAGGACTGTGTATATTCGCGTACGGTACTGTAAAATTCAAGTAATTGTTCACGCCCCCGAGCAACGGCTTAAACAGAATGCAGCATTTAAACACGAAAATGATAATGGCAATGTTGCCATATTACCTTTGTGTGCCAGGATAATGGCGATTCTTGCCGAATACTCAAATTTTACTTACATGCGCTTGTATTTACTGCATATTTATTTTATTCAACAGAAATTTTATCATGCGCGAGCAGTTCATGCGTTCACGGATCTTGTATAAATGTTGGGACACGATTGTCTTGCAAGTGTGATATAGGCTATACTGGTGTGAATTGTGATCAAGGTAAAGTTTTTTATTAAATTAAATTTCATTTCACTAATAAAAATTATTTAATATGCTAAACACTGAATGTAAGAGCTATGCATCGATCAATTGTGTTTGGTGAATCCATCTAACACGGTAGTTTCGGAAAGTTGTCGCATTTTACTTTACGGCTGTTTAAGTGCTTTGTCAATTCAATAGTTAGGTCATTAGCGCCAAAATGAAGAGGGATGTTTTAAGTGCTCGGCTTTTATCGAGATTTTTCCTACTAATTTTGAAAGTGGCCTTAACAAGGGATTAACAAATATAAAAGTCAATGTATTTGCTATTGCTCATGGGTGTAGGGACTTTTATTTCAAGTGATAAGTCACTGTGCATTATCTATTACCATTTATAATATGTCAAGTTACGTTCGTTTTATATAATAACTCGTAGGTTATAAATCATTGGTCGAAAGGTGCAAATGATGCACATATGATGACAGGATTGTAAAATTGCACTGATGCAATGTAGTTGTAAAAAAGTGCGTTTTCATCACCTGAACATTGCTCGCACATTTGCTATCATACCATAGCTTATTACCACCTTAATATCCCAATTTTAACATGGTGCCACAGCGATTTTCATTACACTATCGTAATTTTTCAGTTGTACTATCATTTAATCGCGTTCTAGCCATCGTACCACCGGGTTACACCATCATCGTTCAATCGCGTTCTAGCCATCATGCCACTGCGTTACACCACCATCGTCCAATAGCGTTTTTTACCACTGTATCATCTCATTGCATCATCTTTCAACCGAGTTTTCAATATTGCACATTAACGTCTGCAATCATTCCATCGCACGTCAGTAGTTATGTGATCGTACCATCAAGAGTTGTTCCATTGTGCCAGCCAGAGCTATTTCTCAGTCAATGCACAGCGTTTTGAACATTGTGTAATCACAATTTCATCATTAAAATTAAATAATTTCTTATGATGAAAACAATCTATTTACTTCAGATGTCAAGAATTGTAAGGATGTTTTAGATAATCACGTGACCAATCACTCTGGAAGCGGAGTCTATACAGTGAAGATTAATGGTCATCTTACTGACGTCATGTGTGACATGGTGACGTCAGGGGGTGGATGGACGGTAACACAGTTTCAATAGTTGTTACAGTTAAACCCTAGTATTGTCAATTCTAATATATTGTCGCTTATTGAAAGCATTTGAAGATAGTGTATTGAGATAACTATTTCTGTTAAACCTTATGGTTTTCTTGTGTTTTGAAATATAATAATTTGTCTTAATGTGGTCTATATTAGGGTCGTCGTATGAAGTTTGCAGCAAATATTTAAAAAGATTTATCCCTTTTTCTTAGATAATTAATTTGCTGGCACCATTAGTGAGTATCTACTCTTGCGCAAGCCTTCAGGTCAATTGAGTCAAGGTCAATGTCAAAAAAAAGATTTCCTTAATTCCTATCTAGGCCGTGGTTTAGTTTTATGAAAGCAGTGTTTAACATTTTTTGTTGTTCCGAAGCAAAAGTTATAAAGTTTCCTTGAGTATTAAGGTTTAAGTCGGCATTGTCAATGCACTTTCGGGGAGCATTTTGCGGTTCCATTTAGCGGAGATCTTGTTTATCACAGGTCATCATGAATAGAGAAAACAACAAACAGAATTTTGGAGACCAGAGTTTCTCTTCCTATGCAGAAGGGTTTGGAGATGTATGGAGCAATTTTTGGGCAGGTGAAATATATTTGTTTTCAAATTGTTAAAATAATAACATCTCCTTAGTGACTGGGTTTTAAGTCCCTCTTACACCTTAAACGTTGTACTTATGTGACTAATCGTCACCTATGCATGCTTTATAAATTCTGATCTATTTCAAATTTCCATTTTCGTTGTTTAGCTCATTGTTTTCTTGTTTAGGGCAAACATATTTTTTTACTTGGGGACTTCACGCTGCTTTTAATGGAATGACATTCCAAAGTCACGATATAAGTTCCATGATAACCACCAGATGAACACATCTGCGGGTGATTTAAAATTCAAAACTCTACCATTTCCTGTTAAAATCTCCTTCAGGCGGTGCTAAGGGCCGAGGACGGAAATTTTACTTTTCAGTACAGTACAAGAACAGGCTCAACTAAACCGAGACTGCAACATTGTAAATTTTGTAGTTTTGGACTTTCTTTAGTGATTCTATTTCTCTTTGTCTTTTCAAGTTCTATAGGTGGTGAGAGTTCAAAGTGTCATTGTTTGGCTGAAGATACAAAAAAATTCAATCTGATGTTTAAATTCACCTTTGTACCAGTTGAACATTTTAAATGAAAAAAAAAAAACCAGTCATATTTGAAACCATGTCATTAAGTCTAGCTACCGCATATTTGTCAGTCATGCACCACTTTAATAATAATAATAATAATAATAATAATAATAATAATAATGATAAAAATAATAATAATAATAATAATTGAAAATAATAATAATAATAACAATTATAACAATAATATCTAGAACTGCCTCTGACATGGCGTGAATACCCCCGCATACCACTTTGTCAGAATCAACAGTGGTCATTCAGAGTTCACGGACAACCTCCCACCCAAATATGAGGGTAGTAAGCCAGTGCAAGTTATGTATCCTACATGTTTTTATGTTTTAGTGGCAAAGATCAAAGTGTCCTTCACCTTTGACCTGATGTCAAAACTGAAATTGCAACGGCATGCCTTGAACACCACCCCCCCATCCATGCGGCTTTGTCTGTGGGTGTTTTATGATAAATTTATGATAACATAATTACATGTTTCATATGTGAAAATGTCAAAATCAATACAATGTATGCAGGCATTCCTAAGCATTTGAGCACACAAGCTTTTTGTACTAAAGGTCCATGTGACCTTAACCTTTGTTACAGTCACTTAAAAATCAATAGGGGTCATCTAATAGTCATAACTAACCTCAATACTAAATATGAAAATTGTAAATCTAAGCATTTTTTAGCAATTGAGCGGACAAGCTTTTATCAGGCAAGGCCCCTGTGATCTTGACCTTTGACCCACTGACTTCAAAATCAATCCTAAAAAATACTAATCGTGACTAACCTTCATGCCAAATATAAAGACTGTGGGTCAAAGATTCTTTAGTGATTGGACAAGCTTTTATCAGTCAAGGTTCCTGTGACCTTGACCTTTGATTTGGTGACCTCAAAATCAATATGCTAATCATGTCTACATCCATGTCAACTATAAAGACTGTGGTTTAAAGAAATCTTAAGTTATTGGGAGGACAAGTTTTATTCAGTCAAGGCCCCTGTTACCTTGACCTTTGACTTGATGATCTAAAAATCAATAGAGATCATCTACGTTACATGACTAACCTCCATGCCAAATATGAAGATTTTGGGTCAAAGGATTCTTAAGTTATTGGGCGGACAAATATTTTTCAGTCAAGGCCCCTGTGACCTTGACCTATTACTTGGTGACCTCAAGATTAATAGGGGTCATGTTCTTATCATGACTAACCTCCATGGCAAATATGAAGATTGTGGGTCTAAGGAATCTTAAGTTATTTGGCGGACAAGGAAAAACCGACGGACGTCAGACGGCCGGAAGCTGATTTCAGTATACCGCCTTACAACCTTGTTGTGCGAGGGTATAATAAGAATTGACAACGCAACGCGCAAAGTGTCCCAAAATTAGATACCATAGGAAGCCCATTTGTATTTCAGTACTTTGATTTTTTTAGGCTTGAAGAAAATGAACGGTCTTACAAATGATGGTCGTCGATACCAGTTAAGAGTGGAACTAGTACTGGCGAATGGAAGCAATTACTTTGCTACGTACGATGACTTTTCAGTCGGGCCACCAAATGATTTTGTTTTGCATGTCGGCAGATACATGGGAAATGCGGGTATATTTTCCGATTGTAATTTTAAAACAATTTTGATAATGACTGTGTTAAAATACATTAATAGATAAAAACATTTACATTTCAGGTGTTCATACATGCGTAGGACACATTGGCTTATTGTTCATCTGTCCAGGAATATTTAAACATTACTAATAGTTTAAAACATTGTTCAGTCCTTAAAACGTTTGAGAGTGTCCTCCCATATACTAATACCCTTAAACGATAGAAAATGTTCAATATGCAATACTCTTGAAGATAAATATCATTATGTTATTAAATGCATTGTATTCAGAAGTAACACACACTTATATACACAAGAAGTTTTTGAACAGACCAAATGTGTATAAATTTAAAGAAGTATCAATTTCAGATAATAAAAAAGTGATACGAAACCTAGAAATATTTGTTGAAAAAGCTTTTAAAATCCATCATTTAATTATCTGTTATGATAAAAATTATATATTTGTAAAACCATTAGTAGAAACAATCTCATGTAGTCATTAATATTAATATAGTGTCTAAGTCTACTGATAAGTAAAATGTCTTTTTTCTTTAAACTATGCATACTATTTAAGTGATATATATTTCCAAAAGATGATTGATATATTCTACGGCAACTTTTAACACTTCATTTTTTTCTTGTCTCTATGGCGAAAGAGTTGTGACAAATGAATAATGTTAAAAATACATTGCGTGGTATTTCATTGTTTGAGATGTGATAATATTGTTGAAATATCTCCTCTTTATATAAATATATTTTTTCGGTAAGGCCGATATGTTTAAGTTATTACCATTACAAATGAATTAAATATGCATCAATGATATTCTATGTTTCTTGTCTTAAAATGTTGCAAGAATCGTAGATATATCCAGCACATGAATATTACTAACCTCTAGTTTGTTGAATATATATAATTTCTCATAGGTTAAAAACTTTAATTATTTATCAAGTATATGTTTTTGATATCATTTATATCAAATGATACTATACATATATGTGTAAGTTAAACACAACATTAATGTATTAATACTTGAGGAGTTTGTCGTTATGACCTTCTCCGATATTGTCATCATGCTATATTAAGTAACCCATATTTATGTTAAGTAATGTCGACATGTGCACTGTTCATTGTCTTGAATTATGCTATTATCATGTCATCACGGGCTTATAAGCAATAAAACTATGTCTATGTCATTAAGGTGATAAGGTCTGTAATATGGTAACCTATTATGTTAATAGTGTTATTATTATTAGGCATAATAACAAACGACGAAAGACTTACATATGCATTCTATGTTAAAAATCAAATAATATACATATACGTATTCATATAGCAAATTATAAATTGTTCTAGAACAGAATACTATTATTTATCATATTAAAATGTTCATACTAAAACATTACAACTTTATCAACAATATTTTTCAAGCACTTTTTATTCATTATTTTAAAATTCATTCATTTAAAATTGCTTTAACACAATCAACAGGTGACTCGCTCTCTAAGCATAACGGGTATGGATTTACTAACAAAGACGTTGATAATGACAGTAACCCATCTAACTGCGGGGTCTATCTACACGGTGCTTGGTGGTTCCACAGCTGTTATGACTCGTGTTTGACGTGCCCGTATGAAACTCCCGGTTCACACACATGTCGCTCTTTCTCTTGGAACACCCTTGCATACTGTATTGCGCTTAAATCCGCGCGAATGATGGTGCGCCCTATGTAGGAAAGTTTTGATTTATAAAATAAAAGTAATAGACGTTTTTGGTTGTTCAATTATGAGTTGTGTTTTATTGTAAAGTATGACACACGGAAATCGTGTTATGATTCATCGTCAATTAAAATTAATTTGTACGAATGCAGCCAATGTAGTGATATATTTTGTTTGAAACAAATCGTTCATTGTATATTGTTTTCTTAATCACTAGCATGCGACTATAATCGTTTTTATTTGTTTGGGTCGTCAGACTAAACAAATAATGGTAGCGAAATTTCAGGCCCTGATATGCTTATTTGCAAAATCCGAAGGTAGTCCATCACGAATTCTACGAAGCAGTTACTCCCCTTTATAAGTACACAAATGCCGAAAATTAAGGGGAGCTCACTGCGTAGATTGTCAAATGACAGGCGCATTATTTTTAAACCTCTGAGGGAAGAGAAAATAATTCCCGATTGATAAATTGTGTAAATCTTTAACATTTCCGCAAATTGCCGGTTTTGTTATGCATTTTAATCATTGAAAATTGCACGGATGATTGTGATCGCCTAAATTAACATTTGTTATTTAGATTTTCTGAAAAATAAAGTTAAGATGTTGACTCAAGGACATGACATGATTATTTACATCAGTGTTAAACAACAGGTCAACCGTAAAAAATATCTCGAAATCAATAATGATTACAAACCCTAAATATAACTTAGAATAATATGGTTTGCTTCAAGTTGATTTCTTATAATTCCTCGTTGTCCAGGAATTATACGCTCGCTTCAGAGTCGATAGGTCTATGGTTCGAATCCCAGATAAAGCAACTTTTTATTGATTGTTTTAATTGTTTAAGCCAAATACAAATTAACTGAATATCAGTGTTGCATAAAGCCTCATTGGCAATTTACTACAGATATAACACTGGAGACAGCATTGCTGACACTATACAAATATATATTGGTTTAAAATCTCACAACCTTCACTTTTCTGACATTTTGAGACCAAAACAAATTCAGCGCCTTCTGTGCTTTGATTATTATATACTTATCTCTGAAGCTCTTTTATATTTGAACAAATAACCGTGACTGATATGATGTTTTTGTATTAGTCTATTACAAGTGAGTTTTTGTGCTGAAACCTTGAAGTATTATGCAACACATAGTTTGGCCATGTGATGGAGATAAGAGAGATATAAACACATTAGGGAAATATAAACAAGGGAGACCACCGTGAAACAACTACGGAAAATGTCTAGTTACACGGAAAAAATCCACGAAAGGCACCAACGGGGGAAAATAATACCAAAATTTATCATTTTAGATATTAATAGGGAAAACAAATACTAAATATTATCTCTTTCAGGCAATACTCTAGCTTTGCTGGTAGAGAAAGTGTTGGTGTTCTTTTATGAAAGATATGACATTTTATATGGAGCAAGAAGAAATCGCCGGTCCTGGAAACTGCCATGCCTCGCAGGAATCCCGAGGCCTTATACATTTGGTTAGAGGTTTTTGCCTTATATTGCTGAAAAGATGAACATTCAAACTAATTCAATTTCCAATCCGCAACTAAGGCACACAAATGGTGTTGGAAAGGTTGGTACCGAAAAGGCGTTTTTCTACAAAAAATAATAAATTTTTTATAGGGAAAGTACAAATCGCGGTACAAAATTGACCATCCCACGCGCTGAAATTTCAAAGCTATATTCCATGATGTGACTTATATTAATGTAAAAGAGAACTTCCAAACTTATACAATTTCCAATACGCAACAAAACAACATATACTTATTATTATTAACGGTTGGCACAAGAAGGAAAATGTGACCAGTTATATAAAGAAATCCGGTCTAAAAAGATCTTGTCATGCGAATTCTGGAGGCAAGTATTCCTAGATTAGAGCTTTGCGACTTACATTGCAGTAAATAGAACCTCCAAGATAAAACAATTACATATTCGCAACAAAATCACACAAATGGTGATCGCACGGATGGCACCAGAAAACTGTGATTCTTACACAAAACAGTACATATTATACACAGAAAGGACTAATCGCCGGTTAAAAAAAAATGACCATAACACGTGGAAACCTCCAGGTCATAGCCCTTTTGTCAGAGCTTTGTGCCTCAAAATTACGTTAAGAAAAAACCTCCAAAGTAATACTATGTCCATTTCGCAAAGAAACCACACAAATGTTGTTTCAAAGGTCGGCACAAGACAATGGAATTTTTTTTTCGAAAAATATGACACTTCATATAGAAAAAATAGAGAAAGAACAAAATTTCAGTCCAAACAACGACAAGTCCACGCGGTAATTTCCAGGTCATATTCTTTGGACTTGAGCTTTGTTTTTTACATTGATGTAAAAGAGAACTCCAAACTAATGCAATTTTTGGAAAGGTTGGCACCAGAAATGTTTTTTACGTATCTCCAAATTAATACAATTTTCAATCTCCAACGAAATCACACAACTTGTGTTGTGACTGTTGGCACAGTTGGTGTTTTGTATTCGAAAAATTGTACAATTTATAAGAAGGAACAAATCGCCGATCAAAAAAAAGTAAAAAATAAAATATAATAACCCCCCCCCCCCCCAAAAAAAAAAACAAAACACATTGCTACTAGGAAAAACACCTTTCTTCGTGGAAATCTCAATGCTATATTTCTTTGGCTAGAGCTTTGTGGTCTAACATTGACTGATACTACACTAACGGCTTTAGAACAAAAATTGAATGGCACTTCAAAGCCACATTTGCTGACGACAAAATTTTGCCATATATATTCGCAAGTACAAGCAATTGACAGTCCTGTTAAACTGGAAATGTAACAAATGAGTAATCGTTACATTTTTGTATAATTATAGCTCTTATCATTAGTCATCATTGATTCATCATTATTCATCAATAGTCATCATCATCATCATCATCATCGTCATCATCAACAACAATACCCATATCATTGTTATTTCCTGCTATATTATGATTAAAACACCATTATTAATTAATTTGGTGCATAATCCATATATGCAATCATTGCATTATGATGAATGAGAAATTTAGTTACTGATGTATGCACCTTCGAGGAAGTGACAAGTCATGGCCATATTCATTGGGCTACAGCTTTGTGTCACATATTAACGTGAAGAAGAACATCAGAACTACAGTATATAATCCGCAACGAAATCACACAAATGGTGTTAGAAAGGTTTCCATTTTTTCACGAAAAACAGGTACATTTTATAAAGCGAAAGAACAAATGGCCGGTCAAAAAAAACCCGACCATATCACGCTTATTCGGACTCGGGCTCCAACACACCTGGTCTGCTTCGCGCTTTCCTCTTTGTTATTGATTTTTTTTATCACAGGTGCCATCTCATTCAATGTTTTAATACACGGGTACCCGTCCTATGACAGTACATAAAGAATGCAAAAAACGCGAAGGATGGAATAAGACTTTATAATACAGGTAGTCGGAATTTGACCGCAATTATTCGGCTTGACATTTATTCAATAAATCAATAAATAAAAATAAATAAATGAATAAATAAATGAATAAATAAACAAGTGCAAATAAATTATATACAATCATGTGCGGAAGTATAAATTTATGAAATTTAAAAAGCAGCACAGCCAAGAATAGCCTGTGCATGAGCAAAGAGGGTACCGTTCGAGTAGATTTCGCAAAGAGGGTACCGATATAGATATGCACAATGTACACGGTCTATGGTGTTGTGACAGCTGTTGTGATTCATGTTTAACGTGTCCGTAAGAAACGCCGGGTACCACAGACTGTCGCTCTTTCTCCTGGAACAGCAATGCTTCCGCCACTCATGTAATATATATTTTCATACCACTGAAATCATTGAAAATAAAACCTGTTGAATATCCTCAATGCTTTCTTATTAAATGATATTTTTCATTATTTATATATTTATTTAGAGAAGGTAACGCGTTTAGTTTCAGTTCAGTTTTTATTAAACCAAGGCATATAATATGCAACTGGTTATAACAAACAAACAAACACACTGAAACAGAAAAATAACAGTCAAAAATCACTAATATCACAATATAAAAATACAATTATGACTAGCTAAATAAACAAAAAGGAGATCATATTGTTCATTTCAAGAATATATTTCATTTAGAATATACTACAGCAATCAGCCAATGTGGCCTTCTGAAATAGAAAAATAACATCAACAAAACATGAATATAGGAACAAAATATAATGACTTACACATGTATGATATGTGCCTAATTGCTAGAAAATGAAGATAACTAAATTTGTTTATTTAACTAAATTATCAAAGTGATTGACTCATTCATATACTTTCGATAGATACACATTTTAACAATTCATTCATTCATTCATTCATTCATTCATTCATTCATTCATTCATTCATTCATTCATTCATTCATTCATTCATTCATTCATTCATATTAAAAACTTCTTTTCTTTCTTTTTTCTTTAAAACATTTACGATTGTCATCAACAGGTTACGTGTTTACACATCTGCGGATGCAGCTTAATTTATTAGGTACTTCACAATTTCATGTCTAAGTGCTATGGGCTGCTTGAGCCGGTGTTTGGATGTGCGGATCGTGGTTTGCATGCACATAACTGTACGGTCCATTAAAAGGCTTGATTAAACCGATACTGCAACATTTTTTATTTTGCCGTTTTGAGTGTTCCTTTGGGATTCAATTATACTTTATTCTATTTTTTATTGCAATTGTGAAATGTGTTTATATAAGCATATGAATATTCGTTAGTTGACATTACTCGCCTCAATGTTTGAGTATATTTGATTCAAACTAAATTACTACTGTTGATCGAATACCGGAAAGTCTGCGCTCGGGGAGGGAGGGGAGTCAGGGGACAGGGGAGCATGACAGCGTCTGCACTTCTTTATTATCTCTTATGAACAGAATCAATTCGACCAAATCTGCGCTAGTTTTTACTCTCTTTTTACTCTTTTTACTTTTGCTTCCTAAAATTAGCAATTTTTAAGAAGTTTTAATCAAGAGTTTTCTTTTATATTTGTAGCTTCTTGATTTTTTTTTTGTTTTTGAAAGAAACTAAAATGAGTAATACACTCAGTTGTATCCGGTATAATAGAATGCATACCCCTTCCAATACCTTAAGTAATGAATGTATTTCTAAAATACAACAGTGAAGGTCACGAGCGTCTTATTCTATGTTTTAAAACTATTCTTTTCAGGTTATATCATAACTAAAATCAATGTGAGTATGTTTTTCTTTTTATCTCAAAATTAATATTATTTGAATGCTGAAGCTCTAAGCAAAAACATCTTTGTATTATGTAACTTTTATCGCAATTATTGAACAAGCTAAAAGGGTTTTTCATTATTTTATCGCAAATATAGAATAAGCGAAAAGTTCTTTACGTAATTTTTATTGCAAATATTGAAAAAGCAAAAATATCTGTATGTAATTTTTACCGCAAATATTGAATAAGTGAACAGATCTTCAGGTATTTTTTATTGCAAATATTTAATAAGCGAAAAGATCTTTACGCAATTTTTTATCGCAAATATTGATAAAAAAAAGATCTTAAGGTAATTTTTATTGCAAATATTGAATAAGCGAAAAGATCTTTACGCAATTTTTTATCGCAAATATTGAAAAGCAAAAAGATATTTAAGCAATTTTTTATTGCAAATATTGAAAAGCAAAAAGATCTTTACGTCATTTTTATAGCGAATATAGAATAAGCAAAAAGGAGAAATAGTCATTGATTAGTGTATTTAATTTATTGAACGAGTTAAATAAAATCATACAAGCCTCTGGCGAGCATAATACTAATATTGTTTTATTCAGTTTGTTCAATAAATTTGCATTGAATCTACACGAATACAATGTTCTAAAAATGTTTAAAAAAATGTTTATAGTATAATGCCAACTTGTGCGCGTTTTAACGCTATGTTTGTATCAACCGCAAATGACGTCACATCAAAGTGTAATTGTAATATAGGCTATAGAGTAATATCGTTTTTATTACAAGGGTTCATTACACTCCTGTGCCATGGTTTATGTGATAAATTGTTAACGAAAAGTTGTTCTTGTAAACGACAAGAATAATATAATAGCAGACAAAAAAAAAATGAAAATATGTAAAATATCCATTTTTAAACATGCAACCAATATTCCCCTACACATTTAAACTACTAGTACTCCGCTTCTTTATTTATGTCGTTTTAATGTGAAATTATTTAAACTATATGGAAATTGAATGTGTAGTGCCCCCCCCCCCCCATTTTTACAACATATTGCCGTACGTGTATGATGTTTTATTGAGTGGTTGAAATTATATTTTGTCCTATGAAATCGTTCCATTTTTCAGATTTCTTGATGCATTGAATTCATTTTTATCATTGCCATTAAACTTTTAATACTATCCCATTCAATCGAGTACTATACACGAAATGCGTATAATTTCAACCGGTAAGTAGGTGTGTTTGTTATGTAAATTTTAAGTCTTGGTTAGCGTTAAGAAGTATTTACCAAATTAAATTGCTCGAGCACGGCGAGGCTGTTCGGTTGATTTAATTTGGTCAATACTTACTTATGAACACTTTAGTGTTTGAAATTATTTTTTTGTTAATAACCAATTTACTATACTGATCAATAGTTTGCCGATTGACCAAAGTAAATGTGTTACGTTTCATTTGAAAAACTGTAATTCTATTGATTTTTAATTTAATATTAAATCATATTTTGCATCTATATTCTATTCATGAATTGTGTGGTGCAATTAGTTTATTTAATCTGCAGCAACATGTCATTTAATACTCTCCAATTATATCTAAATCATCGTCTGTTTAAATAACCAAATATAATTTCAACCAAATGGTTTATTTTGTGCAAATTCCATGAAAATTCTTCATGACAAACACGAACAAATACGTAGTAATTCTTTGAGAGTTCTTTCCCTTACTAACCAGATCTCCATTTATAGTCATGTTATTTCCTGTTTAAACGCGTACACATTTAAGACCGATTTAAACAATGTTTAAACGTTGTAACAGTGGCTTGACTGTATATTTAGGTAAGTGCACTCATTATGATATAGTTTAAAGTGTTGTTATGATGATTTAATCGTAATTATCTTGATTTTATTGTAAAATATAACTTGGTAAACCGTGCATAACTTGTCACGTAAAATAAACCGATGATGAATGTCATTCATGTATGAATCGCTGTTTGTATAGGTATACATGACATGACATAGGTTTACAAACGTTGACCCACTTTTGTTGTACTATACATAATCGATATGTTCATACGGCGATAAGATTCGACGTTGTTTAAACATGTTTTAAATTGATTGTTCGTGCTTGTACTATAGTATTTTAGTATGTCAGTTTATAAAACGTTGTGTAAGTATTAAGCATGTTTTAAACTGAGTTAGAATATATTTGTAGATCTATAACAAACTTGATTTGCATTTACAATGAAATAAATGTATTTCATTTGTTATTAAAGGGTAGGTCTTCTATAATATCTAAGTTTAAATTAAAAATGCTATAATGATATTATATATCGTAGTAAAAAGGTAGATAAATCTATTGTAAATAAATTGGCTGGACAAAATTTTAGAGATCTATTATTGAACAATAAAGATATACTATGCTCCTCTCAGGGTTAAATATTTTAATCACCGAAATTGATTCAAAAATATGATAGATTCTTACTACATATGTCTAGTTTAAATAAATAATTGAATAAAATTTCTATATATGCCATTATGGGAAGCTGCGCTCCCTATTACAGGTCAAGTAAAATTGGTCTTTTCTTTAAAAAAATCAAAACAGTTTCTTTTTTGTTCCGTTTTTTTTAATTTTAATTTTTCATATTGTGACTACCTACAGTGTGTAGAATTTTAACATAACACATCTACTCTGTGATTACAAAGAGACTGGGTTACAATTACTAATATTTTCTAAAATAAAATTTGAGCGTAATATATCTTTAAGATTTTGATTTCAAGGTATTAATGCATGATATTTAACTTTATGGACAATCGACTATTGCTCAGTAACTTAATCCAAAACCAGAAACCACGTGTATCTTTTCTCCAGTATCTCTCATATAATTATGATAATAAGAAATTTTATCCGAGCATATCTTTACATGAACAGTGCAATTTCGTAAATCTTACATGAAATAGTTAGTAGCATCATCATTTTATCATATTTATTTTTCGTCGGTACATTCTGTTTTCTGGTCATTTTATTTGATTGTTAAATTGTTTGATTTAAAATTTGTTAATTAACACATTGCAAATTAAGTCTTCTTGCTGTAGTGAATTGTAAAACTTAATTTCTGTAATTTGATTTAAGTTATAATTTAATGCACATATGTCCTGAAATTACATTCTGTCCAATGATATAATTTCATTTTTAAATATTTTTTTGTATATTAAATTAATTCAGCCGGCCCAAATTTGTCATTAAATACTACCCAGTTTAAGTAATGTATCATACGTTGCTCGCACTGTGTAAAGATGCAAAACCACTTAGTAGGTTAGTATTTGTTAATTAATTAAGTTTAACATTTGCATGAAATCTGCTGAGCAGCTGCGACGATCTGGTCAGTTTTAATTTTACTAACTCAGACTCTCAAACACTGACATATATGTACAGTGTAATATGGATAAATATTTTGATTGGAACCTATTTTATACATTTATTATTAGTTTATTTCAGTCTCTTTCATATGCATACATATATACATAAAACATATTAAAAATTGATAAAAAAAATACATATGACCATTCTACAATAGAATTATAAGAGACTATATCATATATATACTTATCATTATCCATTTACAATTGATATTTAGTTCCTATTGTTAACAGTAAAGATACATTATAAGACCATTTTACATCATAAAAGTTAGATTATCCCCACTGACCTTCAATAAAAAATAAATGAAGAAATGCTGTAAGATATTTTGATAATAAATCTCTAAGAGTTCTAAAAAGTGGCATCTCTAAGTGTTCTAAAAAGAAAAGTGGCACTATTCACAAATTTAATAAAACTATATCACCCATGGTCAAACATGGATGATTGGTCAGTGGTGATATTTATATATTAGTAGGTAAAAAAACTTATCATGTTAAAACAGATATGTTTCATTTGTATCATACAAATTACTATCATCACATTTTGTACAATAAAATTTACTATCGTGTACTATAAGCACCTGTCATCTGAAAAAGATGTTAAAAGACTATACTAAAATTAATTTAAAAAAGAAACTAAAACACTAAGTGGTCTAAAAAACCTTACTTGTACAATATATTGTAGCGGAGTTGAAGAATATTGTAACAGGTTTTGGCTGTGACTTTAACAATATCATTGTTGGAGAGAATAAAATTAATATAAGTTTATCTTCATCAGTGAGGTCAACAAATTCTGGCATTAAGTTACGAGCTTCTTCTAACATAGGTAACCTCATATGCTCATACGCATTACAAGATAATAATACATGTTTTTCACATTCAACTGTAATTTTACATATTGGACATATCCTACTTTCAACAGCAATGTTTTCATATCTTTCAGTCTCTACTGAGCTACTCCACATCTGAATTTCGCTAGTGCAGACATGTGTTTACGTGGCAAATATAGTTTACAAAAATGTAAAGTTTTATAATCATTTTTTAACAACTTATAGGTTCATAATTTATTACAACCATTCACATTTTCACCAACATTCCTATTAAGAATAGCTACCCATTCATCCATATGTTATGACATATATTTTTGAACAACTTTTTCATAAAAAAACTTAGACGAGAATGTTACACAACTACGTGCATACTCTACTAAATTTAACTTTTCAATATAATAATTGATAAAAATTAATCAAAATTGCCAGTTCTTACACCTAGTACTTTTCTTGCGCAAAAAAGTAGAAAAAGATCTTATAATTAACTCTATTTACATCCATTCTAACAAATCTATGCCATTGTTGACATACAGATCTCCATTGTTTCACATGTGTAGGTGCCAGCTAATTCTCCATATAGAGCTGCTGTAGGTGTATACCGCCCTACCCCCAGATAATATTTTATATGTAAAATTGTTTCACATATCCATGCCATTTTAACCACTCCGTGCATGCTTAAACGTGTATTCCGTCGCAACGTTATTTGCGTTTACAAGCATAGCGTGACAGCGCGCGATAAACGTTAGCGTATACTATAGGCATATTAATGCAAAAATGATTGTTTCTACTGTTATTGTGTATAAATGTGGAAAACGGAAACATGTACTTTCGTTACAAAATAAAATGAACTCTTTGAATGAAAATATATTATGCTTGCTAGACGCTCGGGTGATTTAATTTATTCAACATATGCAATAAATCCAGTATTGAACCTACACTCATTTATCATCCTTTATATATTATATTACATATGGTATGATAAACCATGACAATTGGGCTAAAACTGAACATTTGTATCGGAATCTCGTTGTACATGTAGTTAAGTATTACAAAGATCATCGAAGCACAGTCTACCTGATTTGTTCGCGGGGGGCATAGCCTCCAATCTTAAAACAGATTGCCGAGTGCTTTGATGTTCTTTCTCTTTTGTATCAAACAAAAATCCCTGTCGTCATAATATTACTCCCCCCAAAGAAAAGTAAAAGAGTAACTGACTAATGTACGAGCATCTGAATATGAGTTTCAGTTGTTATCTCTTTCTTTGTCGTCGCAATAAGTCAAACGTCTGAAAAAAAAAAAAAACAGAAAAATTGAACAAATCAACGAGCGTGCTCTTTACAGACATTTAGTGCAGGTAACTAATAGTCCTGCACTCGAGATAATGCGCTGTGCATGTATTGGTAAACGATTTTGCTGTGACACGCCTTCAATAGTAAAGTCTCAAAACTATCATACGGTAACTTAATAATGCGTGTCATGGCAAAGATTATGTCAACGCGTCGAGTTGTAATACATTATACATATCAATTTACATATCATTTGTAGAGAGATATTGCAAAACTCCAACTAAAATGTCAATAAAATACAATGTACACGAATTTTGTTTGGGAAACGTTTTATTCCGAAAATTTTATAATACCAGTTTGTGTGTTTAAAAGGGAGACATATTAGTTGTAGAAACTTGTATGACAAACGATCAAAGATTTAAGTCAACAAGATGTTGCTATAGAACTTATAAAACTAAAATATTTGACTACTTTTTTTACTTTTGAGACTAGTTAATACCATATCCAATCTGCATACAAATGATAAAAAACTCACGTAAATGTACCATTTTAGTCGATAGGTTTTTAATGGTTAAATATTAGATCTATGACAATTCTTTAAATGATTGATTTGTATTTGCAGAGATGTTCAGAATAAAATGATACAGAGTTTCCCGACACTTCTTTGCGTAGATGATACAGTAATACGTTGATGGCCTGAACATCATCTGACGGGCACGCGACTTTCACGTAACATGCACGCGACTTACATGTAACACAGAAGTAACATGCATAGAACTATCAAGGCATCTGAATCGGTCTATTGATTTTTTGATTGGATAAAAAATTATTAAGAAATATTTAAACAGGCATTTTGAAAACCATGAATGGTTTGGAAATTAAATGAGAAAAAACAGTGTGATACAGTTTGCACATTGACCATATCAAAATAGTAAAATTTCAGTTAAGAACGGACTGAAATTGACTGATATGGCTAGTATAACAATGGAGCAAACGCTACAACTGACCGATGAAAACGACAATGAGCTGGGCGAAAAAGCTGTCAAAAGACAAGAAAGTATCGAGAAAAATATTAGTTTATTTGACAACACAGATGAGGTAGATGAAGTAATTAGCCAATTGGACAACACAATCAAAACTGAAAATGAATGTATGGGGTATCAAAGCGTTTATCAATCATATATTGAAGCTACAATCGACAAAGAAAATGCAGAAGGGTCAAATAATTCCGGTCGTGGTCAGCAACAGGAAATAGCAGTTGTAGGTTTTGAATCAACTGCTGTTGACGTGGATCGATATGACTCGGGTGTTTATTCCGACAACTCGGAACCGTTTAGAGATTCTAAAGAGCCATTCTCAGAACACGAGGATGACAAAGCAATTTTGGTATATCAAAATGGTGTCTCCCTGGAAAATACTATGATTGAACAGGAAGTACGTGTTAAGGAGGAGATAACTAATGTTTATGAGGGATGTTCTGACACTGACAGCATGGAAGAAATAAAGCCCTCTTTACGCAAAACGAAGAAACATTTTAAGACTTTGGAAGAAAGATTGAAGTGTCCTACATGTGGAAAGAAATTTACAAATCAAAGTAATCGGCTTGCTCATGAAAAAATGGTTCATAGAAATATGCGGCACAATGTTTGCCAGGTGTGTGGACAAGGTTTCTACTCCTCCGCAACACTGAAGAAGCATATGAATAAACATACCGGAGAACGGCCGTATAAATGTCCCATATGTAATAAGGGTTTTACCCAGCCTGGAAATGCTACCAGGCACTTAGAATCCCATTCGCTAGTAGATAATTACGAGTGCCCAATATGCAAACGTGGATTCAAAGAGAAAGGAAACATGAAGCGTCATGTTGAAACGCACAATGACATAAAGCCGTATACCTGTAAAGTTTGTGATAAACCTTTCAAAACAAGTTCGAATCTTCAACGCCATCTACAAATGGTGCACTCAGGCGAGCGCAATTATTTCTGTCAAATCTGCGAAAAGTCCTTTTCTTGTGCAGACAGTGTTAGATTACATATGAAAATTCACACAGACGAAAGGAACTTTTTGTGTCCAAAGTGCGGGAAAAGATTCATGGTGAGAGGAGCTTTACGGCGGCATTTGTCAGTTCACGAAAATGATGACGAGAACAAATTCAAGTGCGGTTTTTGTGATAAATTGTTCAAAACGGCCGAAACGCTGACTTTTCATATGGCAATACATACACAAAACTATACATATTTTTGTCATATATGTAACAAAGGCTTTGTCAAAGCAAGCGTCCTAAAACAGCACATCCAAACACACTCCAAAGAGCGTCCATATGTATGTCAAGTTTGCGATAAGTCATTTTCAAAAGAGCACACATTAAGACGACATTTTGCCATTCATGGTACTGATAAACCCTATGGCTGTGAACTTTGTGATAAGAAATTCTTATACAGTTGGTATTTGAAAACACATATGAACGTGCACTTAGGGCAACGTTCACACGTGTGCATTGTTTGTGAGAAAGGCTTTTCAAGCAAGTTGTCACTAAAGAATCACATAACTATTCACACGGGACAAAAAGATTATTATTGTTCTATTTGTGATAAAAGTTTTCGGGAGCAAGGCAGCTTTAGGCGGCATAAAACCTGCCGGATGCACAAACGTAGAGAAGAGAGGGCGAAGATAATGTTGAAGTCTGAGCAAAATGGCAAAATTATGGATGAATTTGCTGACATTTTATTGCCTCTGAAATCAGAGTTTTTGGAATATGACAAATGAAAAACTAGTAACTAAGGAATCAAAAAACATATTTTTAATAGATTTGATCACTCTACTTACAACAGTGAATAATAGATTAAACAACTTTCAAAATACATTGAAAATAAGATTTAAAGCACTCAGAAAGAGTAGTGCATTCTTATCAATTTTATTTTAGTATTCTTTTGTTTTAATTAATGGCTACAATTTTAAAGAATTTATTAAAGAAGAGATTTTTTTATTATTGAATTGTGGTAATGCAAGCATATAAATTGGCAGTTATGCATGATAATTTAAGCACAAAATGAAATGTAAGCAGAGATAAGCAGTTGTTTATGAATAAAGTTAATGAATATGTAAGCAAATATTTAGCAGTTGTTTCTTAATATGTAAGCAAAGATTTAGCATCTGTTAATGAATATGTTAGCAAACATTTAGCAGTTGTTAATGAATATGTAATCAAAGATTTAGCAGTTATTAATGAATATGTAAGCAGAGGTGTAGCAGTTGTTAATGATTATGTAAGCAAAGATTTAGCAGTTGTTAATGAATATGTTAGCAAATATTTAGCAGTTGTTAATGAATATGTAAGCAGAGGTGTAGCAGTGTTAATGAATATGTAAGCGAAGATTTAGCAATTGTAAATGAATATGTAAGCAAAACATTAGCAGTTGTTAATGAATATGTAAGCAAAAATTTAGCAGTTGTTAATGATTATGTAAGCAATGATTTAGCATTTGTGAATGATTATGTAAGCAGAAATTTAGCAGTTGTTAATGAATATGAAAGCAAAGATTCAGCAGTTGTTAATGATTATGTAAGCAAAGATTTAGCAGTTGTAAATGAATATGTAAGCAAAGATTTAGCAGTTGTTAATGAATATGTAAGCAAAGATTTAGCAGTTGTTAATGATTATGTAAGCAAAGATTTAGCAGTTGTAAATGAATATGTAGGCAAAGATTTAGCAGTTGTTAATAAATATGTAAGCAGAGATTTAATAGTTGTTTATGATTATGTAAGAAGATATTTCGAAGTTGTATATTAAAATTTTAGCTCATTTTAGCACTGTTTTTCTTGTTCGTGAAGGTAAAGATTTTGCAGTTGTTTTTGTTAAAACAAATGTAAAAGTGATTCAGCAATTGTTTATGTTTATATAAGTCACGATTAAGCACTTGTTTATGTTAATGAAACCAGAGATTAAAATAGATTTAGTCAGGATTGTGTTATGTCAACATAGTCATGTACATGCATCTGTATATTCGATCTATTTATATAATTAGATAATTTGTTATGTTTATTAGTTTTTGTAAATAAGATTAATAGATATTTTATAAATTCTATGTATTCACAATATTGCATCTATTTTTATAATTGAGAGCTGAATTTATTTTTAATTGAAACATTCCGTATAATATTATGATTCAGGTATTATACATTTTTTTCATTCATTTATTTCAAATTATTTAAATTTATTTTGTGATTAAACTATAACGATCTTAGTTTGTTTAAAAAATAATCATACATATTATTTTATGTATTTAATTAATAAAGCATAATTATAGTATTATATACGATATTTTGAGCTAATTGTTACAATTAAGAGAATTATTTGATGAGTATGTGTTAATATTTAAATGATCCTCGTATATGCTATAAATAAATGCTGAATTATTTTGAGAAAAAGAAATTGATACCTTATATTGAATTACATGTATAGATATAGCAATTGGTTTATAGCAAAAAAAAAAAAAAAACAGGAAAAAAGAAAACTACAACAAAAAACAAAAACACATATAATATATGTACAAAACAAATTAAAAGGCTTTTAGTTAGGAAATAAAAATCAAGACATTTTTAAGGCATAATGGCCCTTTAATGTAAAACAGATATTGTGATATGATTAACTAACAGCATTAAAAATATTTTTTTTGAAAGTTAAAGTATTTGTTTAGTCTATTTTTATAGTTTTAATTATGAAATAAACTTCATACACATTTTTAATATTATTTTGAATTTAATACTTTATCATTTCAAATGGTCCATAACTTTGCTCTATGGGAATTTTTAGACTTTGGACCTCAACAGACAAAAGAGCTCCTTTGAGTTAGTCTTGTATAAATTTAATCCAAAAAGTACGGTTTTGATAATTGTAAGTTTTAAATTGGATAGTTAATTGCTGTTAATTTCTTACACTGAATGTTTAAGATTATTATTGAAATAAAATTGCATGTATTTTATACCAGTTCCATCATTCTCAGTAAATCAAATATTAAAACAAAAGTTAATCAAGAAAACCACTTATGATTTCAAAACAGTACACAATTTGAGGTTACATAGATATTTGGCAGGTGATATGACTTTATATTATTGGTTGTTTATTATATTACAAACATCCATTAAAATACGGCCATATAACCTGCAACGATTCTTTTTTTAATGAACTAATAAAACAGCAAACTCCATTTATTTGAGAAAAACAATTAAATAATTCATAAATTGACAGCAGTCGTGATTATAGCTGTTATAATACTGCACGTTTTATTATCACCACACGGCTGTTGTAAATTTTTGAATTCATCTCTTTTTTCTCTCTAAAAAATGGAAGTCTGCTGTACTACGATTCGTACTAAAGATTTTTGACAGGTTATATGGCCGTGTATTATCTAAGTAATAGAAAGAGCACCGAAACACGAGGCTATCTGATTTGTACGAGGGGGCGTAGCCCCCGAGTATTAATAAGATTGCCGAGTGTTTTGGTGTTCTTTCTCTTTTGTATCATAGTCTAACATGACAGCACGTTCCCTGTTGTCATCATATGAAACCCCAGAAAATATTAACCAATAAACGAGCATTTGAATATGATATTTCTGCCCCTTTCCCTTTCTCTGCCGTCACAATATGTAAACCCCAGCAAAAATGAACCAATCAACGGGCATTATCTGGAGTGCGGGTAACTGATACCTGCACTCCAGTTACCGCACTGTGCATGTATATGTATACGATTTAACTGTGACACTTTTTCAACAGAAAGGTCCCCAAACTATGATAAAATATTATAATACTGCATGTTTGTAACGTCTCTTTTATTGGATAATCATAAAGTTTGTATAGCTTTAATTACAAGGCTGCTGTCAATTTATGAAGCAATCTCTTTTGTCTCTATAAAACAGAAAGTTTGCTGTATTATAAATTCGTTATGGAATTTATTGACAGGTTATAAACGTATATATACGTTTATTTGTGTTATAACCATTGCTAAGCGTCTAGGGTAATATATACAAACATTTGTTTAAATAGGGCCGTTAAGCCGGTAAAACTATTTATAACTAATCATATAAGCGAAATGAGTATCCGGTGACAAACAACGTTACAATAGGAGAGGAATTGTAACAGGTTATCTATTACAATATCGATGAAATATTATAAATAGATTGTACTTGTTAGGCAATTATATGTGAACAATGTTCAGCAATAAACAAGTGACCATAGAACAATTCATTTGTAAAAAAATAACACATATTCTGTATTAGTTTTATTCAAGTTTTGTTTTAAAGTTGTAATCAAGTTTATTTTGACTTTCGCATAGTTTGTTTGTTAAATTTACTAAATATTTCTATCATAAGTGTTTGTTAAATTTGATTTATTTTATTGTTGATTTGTTCAGTTTTATTAATTTATTGTATGCAAACATAGTATATAAAATTATTTTTCAACCACAAAGTGTGTTTTTTGTTCATGATTTCCCTCTATCGTTATAAACTTTGTTAATATGAGAAACATAATTGAATTGTTTCAATTAATGGAAGTAAAGTATGGATCGCATTAAATAATCATGCCCCATGGATGTGCTTGCTCTCATAGCAAAGAAGCAATGCCAAGACCTCTTACTATATATTTGTGTCTTTCACATGCAATGAAATACTACATAACTTTACTTGTCCTATAGATGAAGGCAGAAATTGATCATATTGTTAACATGGGGCGTTATAAAGATGCACTACTAAAAAGGTGTTTATCATTCTATATGAGGTTATGATGGTCTTTACACTTGAATGTTTTTGTTTATTTGTTGTATCGGCTTGGTTAAACTTTGCAACAAACACTGTAATAATCATGAGACATGTTAACCCTAAAAGTGTGTAATTGGTGTATCAAAACATTAACCTATTTGCTGTGCTTTTAGGTACAGTCCATTGAAAAGTAAATGGATTTACAAATAAAGAAATCCTGATTTCTTTGCGAAGTTTTCTTTGTAACGGACTATAACTGACCTGTTATATTAGCTATGACCCAATGACTCTTATTATTCGACTCGCAAGGAAGAAGGGGGACAATTAAGTGAGTCCAGAGAGTTTTGAGAAAAAAAAGCAGAATGTACTCATATTTATCATATATTCTCTAATAAGAAATAACATGTAGCAAAAATAATTGCACTTTGCTGTTATTTTACTTTTCTGTAAGACACTTAAGACTGGTACTGATTGTTAATAGTTCGTCCTGAAGTGCTAAAAGCAGGCAATGTACATGAAGAATTGGTCAAAAATTGTTTATTGCATATATCGCATTCCAGGAACGGCGATAATAAGAAGGTTTGGTACAAGTTATTTCACTATATGAGGACTATATCAAATCGAAAATCACAATACTCAGCCTCAATGGAGATTTTTTATGCTGAACATTGGCGGGAAAATGCCGTCATTCACCATCGAAATATTACAATTGTGTGTATAAGAACACGGTTTCTTGCTAAATTTTGGTACTGAATATTTGTTTTGCAAGTATGGCTTCTTTTTAAAGTTTAATTAAAAGTTTTAGTACTAAATAATCGAACGGCATTTCAAAACTATATTGGGTTTAAGAAAAATCAAACCAAGCGTTGAACAGTTAATTTTACTGCATAAATAATCTAAAGTGCATATTGCTTGTAAATGAATGTACTTTGCTTATCTATCTTTGCACAGTTTCAAATTTACTATTTTATAAACAACTTCATAGTTTTATATCTTATGTGAATTTTTGACACAATTTTAATTGGTTAAAACAAGTCTTAACATACAATCTCAGTATTGATACATATATTTCACCTGAAAGTAAATTATCGAACCTGTGTACAATATTTTAAACCATTTGTATTGATTTATCGTAAAAATAGAATTATTTATAGTATAACATTCATGTTTACAGCTTTAACTCTTCGTATTTTACTAATAACAATGTAAAGTTTAACATAATGTTTACAATATGGTGAAATATTGGAATAGATATTAAATATTTAGTAAGTATTGGATTTCACGAATTTATGCATAAATTTAGTACACTTGTTATAACACTATATC